CACACACACACACCCCTTCCTTCCGTGGCTTCATCTGTTCTTTATCTGCTTAAAATACACATGCAACGTCTCCGAAGAGAAGCCACCTAGTCAGACCCAGCACCCCGGCTAGCACCTCTGAGTAATGTGCAATTCTGTCAGTGAACTCTGACCGCTGTGCCTCAATCATCTCATGGCCTACAGCCAAATGAGCACCTTAACCACCTTGGACACACTGTCACAACAGCAGGGAAAGATCTGTTATGAAGGGCCCAGGGCGATAGCCTGATGGCTTAAGTCCTCGTCCTGCATCCGCCAAGATCCCATATGGGTACTGGTTCCAATCCCAGCTGCTCCACTTCCCATCCAACTCCTTGCTTGTGGCCTGGGAAAGCAGTTGAGGACAGCCTAGGGTCTTGGCTCCCTACACCCACATGGGAGACCCAGAGGACGCTCCTGGCTCCTAGATTCAGATTGGCTCAACTCTGGCATTACAGTCACATGGGGAATGAAGCAGCAAGTAAAAGATTTTTCTGTTTCTCCTCTCTCTGTAAATCTGAATAATAAAAATAAATAATTTTTTAAAAACAGTGATAACTATCACGGAGCCACCATTTGGGCAAGGCAAGAGTGAGAGACAGCGTGCAGCATTTACTAACACAGAGCACCTGTGACGTTCCACCAGTGGGCACAGTACCCACCTCCAGGTCGCTGGTCCCTGACTGGCCAACGGCCACAGCAAGCTTTCAGAGCTCCCTTTCCTTGCACGGCCCATGAAAACAGAATCTCCACTTACATAGCTCATGTAGCTAGAACTAATTTGGTTCCAAAAGACAGAAAAAAACACATACGTAACCTGAACGGGACTAGCAGCTCCTGAAGAAATGGATTAGCTAAAATATCTGCAAACACCCACGGGCAGTTTCCTGCAGCGTCCGGAGCAAATGTCTAGCAACGTTGCCAGAATCCAGTTCCCTTCATCACATGGACTAGCGACTCGGCTCTATTTTGTGTTCTGACATTTTCAGTCTTTCCACATTTCTACAGGAAACCTGGGATGTATATCTTCCCGCTTTTAAGCTCACTCAGAGTTCATCTCATTGGACTGCGTCGTATTCGATGCCAAGAAACTGGGATGTCTTGATTGCTCATACAGGAGCCACATGTTCCAGATGTTGAAGCAGACAGGATGAAAGAGGGTTGAAGATGGGTCTCCCTGAGAGATAGTGGGACGTGGATATCAGAGAAGCGGATGGATTCTGGGCAGCACAAGATGGAGCGTGTGGCTGTCCTGGCTGTCCACCCTCTGGCTTACCAGAGCGACGTTCAGAGCTGCCCAGACGCTGATGGTGGTACACTCAGTGGGGAGGCAGCTGCATCAATGACTCCGGGGGCCAGGGAATTCACACAGAGGAAACCCCAAGACAGGAAGCCACCGGAAAACAGCGTGGGTCGTGCATATGTCAGAAGGCATTACCCTGAGCTCTGACTGTTCTGAATCCAACTGGAAAGTTCTTTTCCATTCATCATGCTAACATCTGACGACTTTGTGTGTACCCACCCAAACATTCAGTTTTGTGAAGAAATAAGCTCTGTGAGTTGCTCAAGAATATTGTAGGTTAGGAGCGGGTGTCCATACTTCTCAATTCCAATGCCAAAAAGTTGCAAATCTAGAGAATAGCAAGAACAATATGATATGTGCCTTCAGAAATTATCTTTTGTCCAGTAGTAATGAGTGTGAGGCATTGCTTGTGTGACGAGCACTCATCCACATGAAATGTTTACATTAATTTTTAGGCAAGCCGCTGCAGGCACAGCTTCACGTTTACTGTGAAGACACAATACAAAATAACTTGCATAGAGAGAAGAGTCTTAAAAAGCTTCTTTTCCCAGACAGAGCTCAGGAACGCTGGTCCCAATCCAAGAACCCTCTGAGCAGAGAGCATCGCGGAGGCAGGGTCTGTGCAGTAGCCCGAGGGAGCAGCCACTGTGTATTGTGGACTGGTGCGCCAGTTTCTCATCCCAACAGATTCTCAGAGAAACTATTTGAAATCTAAGGTGAAGAGGACTCTTGTGGGAGTAAATAGAATTTGCAGATATGGAACTACAAGGCTTGGAAAAAAAAAACCTCATTTTTGCAACTCACATTTGTTGGCAGGGCACACGCAAGAGTCTCGTAGGTGGGGGCAACAATCCACTGGGGAATAGTCTCAAGAGATAAGAAAATAAAAAAACAAATGCTACACTTCCATAGAATAGGAGAGTGGAGTGGTAACAAAAGAAACATGAGCTCTTCTGCCATTTTGGTCTGTTTCATTCATTTTCATTTATTTACCTGAAGATTAGGAGACATCAAGAGAACTGGCAGCCAGAGATGAGCAGCGTCTACTCCCCCTGTCGCTTGCACCGTCAGGCGGGCCAGGCCAAGCCGGGAGCTGAAGTGCAGTCCACATCTCCCGGTGTGTGGTGGGCTACAAGCCCGGGCCATCACGTCCCTCCCCTCAGCTCCGCTGTGGGCAAATGGGCAGCTGGCTAAGTGTGGGCAGGACCAATCTCACTTTCCTTCCCAGAACACACCTGCCGTTTGTTCATCCTGCATTGGATGAGGCCCGCGGCCTCACACAGGAGGCTGGGCGTGGGGGAAGGGCTCGGCAGCACTGACCGCCGGGAGGCAGCTCTGTCTCACCGAAGCCCCACCCCGGCTCCCTCAGGATGGCTGTATTCATGCATGGTGGGCAGCATTCATGTGTGAACGTATGTTTACCACTGCCACATAAGTCCTGTTCTCACTTGTATAAAACATAGATGGATGTCTGCACTACGAGTTGTTATGGTTGTGGGGACAAGCACGGTAGGGAAATGAGGGGCTGGCACAACAAGCTCACAGAAGCTGCCTGTGGCACCAGCTTCCCACAGGAGTACCTGTTTGTGCCCCGCTGCTCCGCTTCTAATCCAGCTGACAACACATCTGGAAAAGCAGAGGAGGATGGCTCAGGTGCTTGGGACCCTGCAGCCACCTGGGAGACCCAGAGGAAGCTCCTGGATCCTGGATTCACACCCAGCACAGCTCTAGACATTGTGGCCACTTGGACATTTTGGCAAATGGAAGATCCCTCTGTCTCTCTCTCTGTCTCTATGTCTCTCTCTCTGTCTCTAACTTTGATTTTCAAATAAGAAAATTGATAATTATTTCTTTGTAAAGTAAACAGAGGTACCAAGGACCAGGTCACTGCCGTCCGTCTTCGCTGGGAAGCAGGAGCCGAGATGCAATCCTGCACTCGGGCTTGGGGAGTGGCAGCTTAAACTGCATCATAACCACTAAGCCAAATGCCAGCCCTCTTAGATTTTGAGGAAAGATCTCTCTGTGTCAGCATTACAACTTTCTAAAACTGAAAGCAAACAATATTGACCTTTTTAAGGAGTTGATATCCTCAGGTGGAACACACACTCACGTGTCCATTACAGCCCAGAAAGCCCAAAGGGAATCATGTGGCTTTGGGAAGGTTGCAGAATTTATTGTGAGTGTTTTCAACTTTCTGACACGGGGTGGCAGTGGTGAGCGGCACATAAACCAAAGAGCCGGCAAAGGCTGGACTGCCAAGGTAGGCATTAAAGACAAGTGTCCTGCGAGACAGGACTGCCCTGGGGCCCAGCTCCGGCCACTCAGAGCTTCCCTGTCCGAGCTGTCCAAGCAGGAAGAGCCACAGGCTCTGGAGGACCTGCTCCACTGCAGCGCACGTGGAGTTGGCCTGAGCACAACTACAGGGATTTACTTTAAAGTTCAAATTGTTTACTAAGAACTCATCTGTTAGGCTCTTACAATACACATTCCCACAGGATGTGGCCAGTGGTGACACGTTCCACAAGTCCACAGACACGAAGTGCGACCCATGCGAAGTGTTGCTGGGTGCTACTGCAGCACCTCGGAGGCACCTGCCGAGACAGCGGGTAGGCAAGGCGGTCAATGAGAGACGGTTGAGCCAGAAGCCTTTCCAACTCAGCTGCTGGAGTCTGAGCAGCTAAGGAAGTGAGGAGGGCGGGAACTGCAGACATTCCTTGCAAACAGCGGGATTTATACTGTCCAGTTTGCTTCAGCCATCACGACCCTGGCCCCTCCTTCGTCCCGGCCATGGCCGTAACTGGGAGCTGTCCCCAGCGTAATTTTCAGATGAATAGAAGATGGCCTCTGGGCCTGCGTGGGGAGCAATACATCTTCCTCTCTCATGCTCGCTCTCCTCTCCCCTGTCACTCTGTCACACAAATATCCAAATGATTCGTTTCCAGTTTTTCACTTATCTACTTGAAAGGTAGAGCAACAGAGGAAGGGAGAGATGGAGATCTTCAGCCCACCCCACCGTGGCCACGGCAGCCGGGCTAGGGCAATGGAAGCGGGAGCGAAGGATGCATGTGTCTGCATCCCCACATGCAGCAGGGACTCAAGCATCTGGGCCTTTCCACTGCTGCCCTAGGAAGGTCAGCAAGGAGCTGGACTGCCAGTGCAGCCGCCAGGACACGAACTGGAATTCCATACTGATGCTGGTATTTCTTCTTGATTCACCATCTTTTTAAAGATTTCTTCATTTTTACTGCAAATTCAGATACACAGGGAGAAGAGGAGAGACAGAGCGGAAGATCTTCCATCCATTCATTGACTCCCCAAGTGGTCACAACAGCCAGAGCTGCATCGATCCGAAGCCAGGAGCCAGGAGCTTCTTCCAGGTCTCTCGTGCAGGTGCAGGGTCCCAAGACAGCGTGCCATCCTCCACTGCTTGTCCAGTCCATAAGCAGGGAGCTGGAAGGGAAGTGGAGCAGCTGGACACAAACCATTGCCCATGTGGGATCTTGGACATGCAAGGCAAGAATTTAGCCACTAGGCTACCATGCTGGGCCCTAAAATAAATCTTTACAAGAACCAAGAAAGAGTAGGGGGTGGGTTTAGCTCAAAAATAGTCAAGGTAGGGGAACCCAACATGAAACCCTAGCTAAAAATGGCTCTGTGTGTGTGTGTGTGTGTGTGTGTGTGTGTGAAGGGGCAAGCTCCCCAACCAATGCTTCACTTCCCAAATGCCCACCACAGTGGCAGTCAGGCCAGAGTCAAGGCCGGGAGCTGGAAGTTAATCCGGTTTATCCACGGCGCCCAGGCCTCTGGGTGGGGAGGCCACTGAAATAGTTCAGTCCACATTCAGCCACTGAGCATGAGGCCTAAGAGCAGCTGGCTCCCCCAGGGCGCCCTGCCCAGGACACCTGCCGCAGGTGGGCTGCCATGCCCCCGCCTCGGAGTAACGGATTCTGCATTCCCGTGATCCCCGGGGCTTCAACAATGCGCTAGGCCGTCGGGACACTCGGGAATCCCGCATCCGCAGCCTGGGACAGCCAACTGGAGAGACACAGGACGAGGGAAGGACACACAGCGTCCGTGGCCTCCCGGGGAGCAGGGCCAGCAGCGCCTCCCGGAGCGGGCAGCACGGTCAGCCAGGCAGTTCTCCCAGCCGGCTCGCCTGCGTTCCCACTGGCTTCAGCTTACACACACACTGGTGATCGTGGTTGCCTGCTCAGTTCCGTCCCCAGCCCCTCATCCCATGCAAACCTAGGCTTACTGCAGCCCAGCGCAGCATACCACAGACCTACCAGCAGCCTACTTGGGGCGACCCCGATAACCCCTATCAAGCCTGCTCCCAGCCCTGTTCCTGCGCGTGCTAGTCTACGCGACAGACTAGTCTGTGCCACATCCCAGTTGGGTTCTCAGATATACCTAACAGTGTTGCAGCTGAGCTCGCTCTGCCACATGAACTAGTCCAAGCTGATATGGGTGATGGACTGAACCAGACCCTGTGAGTCAGATCTGGGGCCACCCCAGGAGGTTTCTTGGGAGAATCCCCAATCGGACCATTGGACTCAAAACTCCGGCCACAGGCAGTCATAGAATTTGTGGTCTGACTTTAGAATGCACATACTGGCACTAGGCCCTCCTGACTGCTGATGCCTATGCAGTGGACAGCATGCCCAGGTGCATAACGGGGACATGATGGCCAGCTCATTGGGGTTGGCAGAGGATGTGGAGTGCCATGTCACACGATGGAGAACAGAACAGGTTGGACAACTCTCCAGCAAGTGTCTGGGTAAGTGGATGTGCTAGGGTGCACTCTGTCAGCCAATGGACCTTGGAAGGATTTTCTCAGCATCACAGAAGCAAAACCAACACCATCTTGGAACCATCAAAACCACTCACGCAATACCCTCAGAGCATTCTCCACATCACGTGAACATCCCACCGCCAGGCACTGGTGCAGTCTGGCAGCTGGGAGCAGCCCCTCCCCAACACCCTGACACAGGCCATAAAGGAAAATGGAGAGCATCTGTCCCACCCACCTTCCTCTGCACTGCAACCTTCACTGCCCTGGTCAGTGGTCCTCAGGGGCCTTTATTCTTGTTAACATCAAAAATTAAAATTTAAAAAAAAAGTAACAGCATATAATTTATATACTTTAAATAAATGCCCAAAAAGACATAAACAAAGTAAGTACCAGGCAGCAAATCTTCAAAGTCAGTTGAAGCACACGAATTTACTGAAGAACAGTGAGCACCAATCCACCACACAGGCGTTCCCCAGGCGGCCACGAGCGCACGCGCGCACATCACATCTGCTTCCTTCTTTTATGACTATGGTGTCTCTCACCATCCCTGAAACGAAAGGAGTATTAAAAAACAATTATAAATGATGAACATTTTAACATCAAATTTAAAATAATTCAACAGTAATATACTTTTATCAGATATAAACTAGGACATGTTAAAACATGCATTTGGAACTCAGTAGTAAAAACAAGAAAGAACTGACCAGGATTTCTTTTAAAAATAAATTATTTGAGGGACACATGGAATGTGCAGAGAGAGCTCCTATCAGCTAGCTCTCTCCCCAAAGGCCTACAACGGCAGGACCAGGCGGAGTCAAAGCCAGAGCCGGGAGCTCCCCCAGGTCTCCCAGGACCGGCAGGAGCCCCAGTGCGGGCTCTGCTGCAGCCTCCGGGGTCCACACTAGGGCACAGCCAGAGCCGGGAGCTGCCCCCAGGTCTCCCAGGACCGGCAGGAGCCCCAGTGCGGGCTCTGCTGCAGCCTCCGGGGTCTGCACTAGGGCACAGCTGGGAACTCAGAAACAGGAACTCACTGAACTGCTAGGCTGAAGAGTGATTTTTTAAAGAGTAACCAAATTATTACTTATTAAAGAAAACAAATAATTAAAATCAATGAGCAAAATTAAAATATGGAGTAGCAAAATGAATGTTAAAAAGTGTTTTAAATTTCCCTTTTAAAATTAACTTTGAATCTGTATGAATGCTGGATGAATAAAGAATGCATCTCAAATGACTAAGTCACAGCATTCAGACAGGGTCCTTACCCTGGCTCCTCTCTCAGCTCCCCGGAAGTCATCGCACCCCCAGGGGTCGGCACCCAAGAGGATGACCCTCCTCTCCCGACAAGGATTTCACTAACACCAAGCTCACTTCACTAAAGGATCTCAGGCTTAGACTCTCAATGTTCACATTTCTATTTCTACTTCAAAGGCAAAGCCACAGAGACAAACTTCACGTGCTGGTTCAGCTTCTCCGACACCTTCAATAGCCAGAGACTGGGCCAGGCCAAAGCCAGGGGAGCGGCACTCTATTTGGGTCTGAAGGGGCCAGATCTGGTGCTGGCCAGACTGGGGTCCTTGGGGGTTGCCCCAACCAAGCCAGAGGACCCCGGAGTGCATGCAAGGTTGGGTCCAGAGTGGACGTGGAAGGGGTTTTCAAGGCTGGCCAGGCCAGGCTGCAGCACCCACCAGCACTTGCTACCAGTTCATGGGTCAGGTCTGGGGGCAGTCTGGGACACAGCACCTGCTGGCATGCACTGGGGCCAGGTCTGGGCCTGGGCCCGGCTGGGGTTTGCAGGGGTCACCCCAACCAGAAAGCGTCACCCACTGCTACATGTTGGGCTGGCATTGAGGACAGGCTGGGCTGCAGTACCCACTGTGCACACAAGAGCCAGGACTGAGGACCAACTCAGCAGGAACTCTCATAAGCTGGCCCGAAGGGTCCACTGCACCAGACCCCCAACCTCAGCCAACACCACACGGCCGCCTGCCTTGGCCTCAGAGCACGCTCTATAGGACTGGGCCGCCCCACTGCTGACTCCACAAAAGGAAAACCAACATACTGGGATGCACACCCAAGACAGGACAGCCAGCCTCTCTGGTTCCACAGAGGACCCGAGTGCCTCATCAAAAGACACAAAGAGCAGGTCAGACAGCACCACAGGCCAGGCTTTCTCCCCCAGGCATCTAAGGCTGTCGACACACCAGACAGACGGCAAGTACGGGAAGTGGTCACACCTGACCGCAGAAGCCTAGGCCATCTCAGAACAGTCAGACCACTCAGGACATTCCCCATCAGGCGACCAGCTCGCACAGCAACGAGCAACACCTCTGCAATCCCCACCCAGAGACCTGTATGGGTCTGCAACCCCCTTGCCTGTGTAACAAACATTTAAGAATGAATACATTAAAAAAAAAATCACATGAATTACAGGGAATTACCAGGCAACGGTTTCCCTTTTATAAGAGAACAACTATATCACAGCTAATTTTAAGCCTATGAAACTGAACAGTTCACAGTGAACAAAATGATGCTCAAAGCAGAACAAGAAGCTTCACAAAGCGGTGGCTCCCCGCCACTCTGGGCCGGGGCTCAGCTGCAAGCCCGCCATCTGCTAAGGGCACGCGCTGGAGCTGCCGTCTGGGGACAAAGTCCAAATACACGTGTGCCTGGGTGGAATCATGGCAAAATGGAAGACAATCAGCTGCAGCTGCATGAAAGAAGGGTCAGGGGATGACTGAGCTGCGCCCTCTGAGGAGCAGCGAGGTCAGCACGCAGCCGAACACAGGACTAAGAGCAGTGACGTGGCCAAGCAAAGAGAAACTGGCAGAAAATGCTCAGGTCCCAAGCTGTACACTTCAGGGCCTGTGCAGACATACAGAGAAGCAGGCAGCTGCCCTCCATCCAAGCTGGTGAGCTGCTCTCAGGAGGGCCTGTGCAGACACACGGAGACGCAGGCAGCTGCCCTCCATCCAAGCTGGTGAGCTGCTCTCAGGAGGGCCTGTGCAGACACACGGAGAAGCAGGCAGCCGCCCTCCGTCCAAGCTGGTGAGCTGCTCTCAGGAGGGCCTGTGCAGACACACGGAGACGCAGGCAGCTGCCCTCCATCCAAGCTGGTGAGCTGCTCTCAGGACGGGAATGGATTCCTGTGGGATTAGCTTAGAGATGAGCCTAGCTTGAGGAAAGCGCCAGCATTTCCAGATGAGCAACAGGGACAGAGGGCAGGGGCTGCAGGCGAGGCTTGCTCTGGCACAAGTGACAGGAGTCATGGCTGACTAGATGGCAAGCACTGAGAAGCGACAATGATCCCTTCAACTCTGGCTGAACCAAAAGAGGGTCCTTCCATGAACCAGCACAGGAAGGCTAGGCAAGGAGGAACAGACCTGGTGCACCTGCGTTATGGGAGATTCCAGAAAGCTCTGGAAACACAGCAACAGACCTCAGCTGTTTTAAAGTTATCTTAGCATTAAGTCACCTCTCTCCAGCTATCCAAATCTTGCTAATAAGGGAAAAAGTTAACTGATGTTTAAATTGGATCTTCTGACCCTATATATCCTGTAACCAAGGAATTGCCATCAGAGAAACGGGCAGAGGAGAGTTTGGCAAGCATCTTTTTAACAGCCAACACTGGGGTGATGCTGTGGCACAGGCAGGTTAAGCCACCCGCGACCCCAACACTCCACATGAGCAACACTGGTCTGAGGCCCAGCTGTGCCACCGCCACGGCACCTGCGAAAGCAGCAGCAGGTGGCCCAAGTCATAGCAGAGTCGCGGATGGCGTTCTACGTTCCTGGCTTTTGCCTGGCAGCTTGACACAGACCTGGCCATTGCAGCCAGCTGGGGACTGAGCAAGCAGACAGAAGGCAGATGGAATCATCCATCTCTCTCCCTTGGCGGTTCTGCCTTTCAAATAAATAAATAAATAAATGTTTACAAGAAAGTCAGCACACTACACAGATCACTTCCATTTGTCTTACTGAGAAAGCAGTGACAAAAAGGCAACCCAACATGCAATCACGTGTACCCAACAGTCACTGGAGCTACAGTCATCTGACATGAGCAACCAACGGGCATCTTATCAGACACTCTTTATCACAAGGGGCACAGCACGTCAAGCTGCTGCCTGAAACCAGCATCCCGTATGGGCGCCAGCTCAAGTCCTGCCAGCCTACCTAGAAAAGCAGCAGAGAATGAGCCATCCCACGGAGGTCTGGGCTCTGGCTTCATCCTGGCTCAGCTCTGATTGCTGCAGAAATTTGAGTAGTAAGCCAATAGATGAAAAATTTTCTCTCTGTCCAAACTGCCTTTGAAATAAACAAATAACAAACCTTGGGGCTCGAATTTTGGCGTAGCAGCAAAGGCCGTCACCTGTGACACTGCTTGGTGTCCTGGCTGCTCCACTTGGGATCCTACGTCTTACTAATCGCCCAGGAAAGGGCACGTGGCCCCTACCGCCCATGGGAAGCTCCAGGCTCTTGGCTTTGTCCTGGCTCGGTTTAGGTGACTAGGAACACTGAGAAAACGAGCCAGCAGATCGAATCCCTCTGCAAAGCCTTTCAAACAAATCTTACCAACTAACTAAAAGATGCCAGTGCAGGCATGGCAGGTACCACTGGCATCCCACATGCACAATGGTTCCTGTGTCAGCTGTTCCACTTCTGACCCAGCTCCCTACTGACTTCCTGGGAGGATGGCCCAGGAGTTGGTGCCCCTGTGCCCACAGGGGAGACCCGGAGAAGCCCTGGCTCTGGCCTGGCCATTGCAGGCATCGGGGGATGAGTGGTCCATCTCTCCCTGTCTCTCCAGAACTCTAAATTTCAAAAGAAAAAAAGGTAAACAGGAATTTAAAAAAATCTTCATTAATCAGTATCTCTTCCTGCCTTATTCTTATAATCTGTGATTTCCTCACAGCTACAGCAGCAGACCCTGCTGTTTCCTGTTCCGCCAGGGGGGTGAGACTCACCTCTCCTTCCTTCTTCTCGACTCACTGCTTTTGTCTTTCTCTTTATTCCGTTTTCTCTTGTGTGGGCTCCGACTCCGACCCCTTCTCCGGGAACCCTCAGTGTCAAAGTAGCTGCCAGCAGACTGTCGCGAATCTGCCGATGCTGACCGCCGCTCTTCCTTCCTGGAAAAGAAGGGGACGTGGGCCAGCTGGCGACACGCACAGACACAGACACAGACACAGACACACCAGCCAGTCGCTACTCCAGCACACCAGTGACAGGCAGGATCCAGGCACACAGGCTGATCCTCCACCTTGGACAGCATGGGAAACACCAAGCTCTCACACTGGATCACTTATTTCAGACAGCGTTGTCCCAAAGGCAAAGCCATATGGTCACTCTGAGTGCGTGATTCTGAGCACTGGTAGCAGTGCGCAGTAAGTATCTCGAAGGTCCCAGAAATGCAGCGACAACAGCCGAGCTGGGATGTACCTGGTGGCGCCGCCCTCGGCCTTGCCCTGCTCTTCTTTCCAGTGGTTACCGAGTTCTTCCATGTGCACGCTGATCACGTCCCGGATCACCTGAGGGGAAGCCGAATTCCAGGTAAGAAACTGGCCCCAAACCAGACTGCCCAGCTGGGAAAAGCACTGGTAGCCATCAACCATGTACTTACTAAGAACTATGAGTCAGAGCACTGTGGGACATGCGCAGTTTGGAGAGTAAAAAAAAAGATGCAAACTTGATTATAGATGGTACATGAAAATTCTTTCTCACCACCGCACCTTAGGCTGGTAACTGCACAATGATTGTGTTAAGAAATGTGCCTACTCGAGCCCAGCACGATAACCTAGTGGCTAGATTCTCGCTTTGCATCCACCGGGATCCCATATGAGCGCCAGCTCATGTCCCAGCTGCTCCACTTCCTATCCAGCTCCCTGCTTGTGGCCTGGGAAAGCAGTGGAGGATGACACAAAGCCTCGGGACCCTGCATCCATGGGGAAGGCCCTGTAGAAGCTCCTGCTCCCAGCTTCAGATCAGCTCAGCTCCTGCCACTGTGGCTACTTGGGGAATGAACCAGCAAATGCAAGATCAAGATCTGTCTCTCCTCTCTGTAAATCTGACTCTCCAATAAAAATAAATAAATCTTTAAAAATATGTATCTACTCCAATAAAATGCATTCTAACTGCTGAGGGGGATGGAGTCATGCTGTATGTATCCTAGCAGGGACAAGGTGTGTAAACAGGACTGGCAGAGCACACGATGGACCTGGGGCACACGACACGCATACAGGTAGAACAATGCTGCATGAACGACCTGGGCATGCGCTGAGTTCCAGGCTACAGAGACTTTTACAACAAGTTCCTCAAAAAAATCCAAATTAGGTCAAGATAGCAAAGTGCAAACCATTATGGTTATTTTCTGGATGTCCCAGTGAGCTACCAATCCCGTGTAAGTAATTCTAGCTAAGCTTTTCTCCTTTCTTAGTTATCCGTGCCTTCAAGCGGGGAGGCAGAGACGAAACGGAAACAGAATTCAAGTTTCCCTCATGTCTGATTGATGAAATTTTTCTAAAAAAAGATTTATTATTTTTATTGGAAAGTTAGATACACAGAAAGGAGGAGAGACATAGAAGATTTTCCATCGGGCCTGGCGCAGTGGCCTAGCGGCTGAAGTCCTCGCCTTGAATGTGCTAGGATCCCATATCGGGGCCGGTTCTAATCCCGGCAGCTCCTCTTCCCCTCCAGCTCCTTGCTTGTGGCCGGGGAAAGCAGTAGAGGATGGCCCAAAGCTTTGGGATCCTGCACCCATGTGGAGACCCAGCTTCGGATTGGCTCAGCTCCAGCCATTGTGGCCACTTGGGGAGTGAATCATCAGACGCAAGATCTTCCTCTCTGTCTCTCCTCCTTTCTGTATATCTGACTTTGTAACAAAAACAAATAAATCTTTAAAAAAAAAAAAAAAGATCTTCTATCTGCTGATTTGCTTCCCAAGTGACCACAATGGCTGCAGCTGAGCCAATTTGAAGCCAGGAACCAGGAGCTTTCGGGTCTCCCATGTGGGTACAGGGTCCCAAGGCTCTGGGCAGTTGAGGGCCAAACTGGAGCCGATGCAGAATCCCAGAGTGTGCAGGGTGAGGATTTGGCCTCTAGGCTACTGTGTCAGGTCCCCTGATGGGATATTCTTAGAAAGTGACTGCTCAGGCCCCATGCGGCTCAGTGCGGTAGCCTAGCAGCTAAAGTCCTCGTCTTGCACATGCTGGGATCTCATAAGAGCACTGGTTCTAATCCCAGTGGCCCCACTTTCCCACCCAGCTTCCTGCTTGTAGCCTGGGAAAGCAGTTGAGGACGGCCCAAAGCCTTGGGACCCTGTGCCCGTGTGGGAGATCTGGAACAGGCTCCTGGCTTCAGATCGGCACAGCTCTGGCAGTTGCAGCTGCTTGGGGAGTGAATCAACAGACAGATCTTCATCTCCCTCTCCCTGCCTGTATATCTGCCTTTCCAATTAAAAAAAAAAAAAAAAAAAGGAAAGAAAGAAAAGAAAAAAAGGGATTGTTCTCGGGTTCCAGGCTCAGAAGAAGTAGGGTCCTCTGTTTCCTTTCCTGGCACACTCTGTTCCTCAACAATAAACATTATTACTTTGTGTATCCAAAAGATTAAAAAAAAAAAAAAAAAAAAAACAAAGAGGAAGATTCAGGACTCAATGCATTTCCACATCCGTTAAACAAGCTGTTCACAGTTCCCAGCAGGCAAGGGGAAAAGGTTCAAACACCATGAAAGAGCTTTCACCACCCTCCATGACCCAACCACACCACACCCTGGGAGCCGGCCTCCTCTCACAGGGCCCCAGAACCTACCGCACCGCACTGCACCGCACCACACCGCACCACACCTCACCTCACCTCACCTCACCACACCTCACCTCACCTCACCTCACCTCACCACACCACACCTCACCACACCTCACCTCACCACACCACACCTCACCACACCTCACCGCACCGCACCACACCTCACCTCACCTCACCTCACCACACCACACCTCACCTCACCACACCTCACCTCACCTCACCACACCACACCTCACCTCACCACACCACACCTCACCTCACCTCACCTCACCTCACCTCACCTCACCTCACCACACCTCACCTCACCTCACCACACCACACCTCACCTCACCTCACCTCACCTCACCACACCACACCACACCTCACCTCACTGCACCGCACCACACCTCACCTCACCACACCTCACCTCACCTCACCTCACCACACCACACCTCACCACACCTCACCTCACCGCACCTCACCACACCACACCTCACCACACCACACCACACCTCACCTCACTTCACCTCACCACACCTCACCTCACCGCACCACACCTCACCTCACCTCACCTCACCTCACCATACCACACCTCACCTCACCACACCACACCTCACCTCACCTCACCACACCACACCTCACCTCACCACACCTCACCTCACCACACCTCACCACACCTCACCTCACCGCACCGCACCACACCTCACCTCACCTCACCATACCACACCTCACCTCAACTCACCACACCACACTTCACCACACCTCACCTCACCACACCTCACCTCACCTCACCACACCTCACCACACCACACCTCACCACACCTCACCTTAACACACCGCACCATACCATACCACACCACATCACACCACACAGGAGTAGGCCTCCTTCTCAGGGACAGCTCCTCAGGACCTCACCACACCACACCACACCAAACGCACACACACCTCACTTCACAGCACAACACACCACACACCATACCATACCATACCTCACCGCACCACACCACACACACCTCATCACACTTCACCACACCCAGCACACCACACATCTCACCACATCTCACCACACCACACCACACCACACCACATATCACATCACATCATAACTCACAGTGGGAGCAGGCCTCCTCTCATGAGGCAGCTCCCCTCACCTCACCACACCATACCACACATCTCACCATACCATACCACACCACACATCTCACCACACCACACCACACACCACACCATACCACACCACACCACATCACACATCACACCACACCACACCATACCACACCACACCACACCACACCACACCACACCACACCACACACCTCACCACAGAGTGGGAACTGGCTTCCTCTCACAGAACTCCTGTGCAGGAGCTCCCATCCCTGCCACTCCTGCCTCCAGGAGTTCCACTGGCCACAGACTGAAGATACTCAGCGCACTCCCCTAAAATGTGTCTGTGCTGAACAACTGCACACACGTTTCTTGTCACCGCCTTCTAACCCATACAGCATAATTACTATTTACACAGCACTTCCACTGTACTAGGTAGTATAAGCAACACAGAAATATTCCGCCCCCTTATGATCTCAGCATGCATCTTGCAATCAATCCCTCCCTGGTACTGAGGGCTAACTACACTTCTGCTTCCCTTAAGAACGGCTGCTGGTTTCCATCTAGAAAATCCTGATGTACCACTCTCCTGCCCCCACTCTTTCTGTGGAAAATTTAAACTAGGCCATGTCTCAGCTAGCAGTGACGTGAGTCATACGCCTGCACTCAACGCCGAGGTCCGCCCTTCCGGGGGCAGCCCCACCAGAGGGCTCTCTGTGGCTGTCCGCCGGCCCCGCACAGGCTGTCGGTGTGGCCCCGCACAGGCCGCCCAGCACAAGCTGCTGAGCAAGGTCGGTGAGCAGAGCCTGCGTTAGCCTCCCCGCTTCTCCTTGGCCTTCCACCGTCACCTTCTCTAGAAGCTCAGACCAAGTCTGTCTGAAAAAAGAATCATTCTCTCCTCCCATACATGTGATCTGATCATTATTTTAATACTTAAACACAATTCATACTTTGAATATCTGTTTTACTTGTTCAACTATTAAGTTGGGGGTGGATCTATGCGCCATTAATCTTAGGTATCCACATTTGTGTGCTATGCACAGTAATCATAGCATGTCATCAACGTTTTATTGAAATATGTCCTAACCCAGGACAAAACATATAAAACATCAAAGAAGGGAGAAACAGATAAAATGTTGAAAAAAACCACTATGATATGATGAATCATCAAAAGATTTGTACACATAAGTAGAGACAGATGAAAGATACTTGGAGTCTACTTTGAAAATCACCAATGAGGGAGCGGAGAAGACAGGCAAAGAATGTGGGACCAACAGGCCTAGGGCGCACCTGCTGGCCGCTGAGGACGGGGAATGAAGGCGTAAGCGTTCCTCACTTCAGAAATGTTCACTGACAATGGAATGACAAGATGAGTTCATCGTGGTGCAAGTTTCTAACCCATGTATATGATGAAGTCTTCAAAAATGTTCACAGTGGCCCAGAGCGATAGCCTAGTAGCTAAATCCTCACCTTGCACGCACCAGGATCCGTTGCAGGCACTGATTTGTGTCCCAGCTGCTCCACTTCCCATCCAGCTCCCTGCTTGTGGCCTGGGAAAGCAGTGGAGGACGGCCCAAAGCCTTGGACCTGAAGAAGCTCCTGGCTCCTGGCTTTGGGTCAGCTCAGCTCCAGCCATTGCAGCCACATGGGCAGTAAACCAGTGCATGCAAAATCTTTCTCTTTGTCTCTCCTCCTCTCTGTACATCTGCCTTCCCAATAAAAATCAATACATCTTTAAAAAGAAAAAGAGAAACAGATGGAGCCCAGCGTACCTCAGTGTACGATTTCTTAGTTATGTGGACATTCTTGGCTCTGTAGGACTGACGCCTCCTTTTGTAGTCTCTCACTTCTGCCAGGATTTCAAGGTAAGATTTTGGACTTTTTCGACTATTCTCTAAAGAGAGAAGAAATTAACATTAATCCTTTGAAGTTATAAATTCTTACGACTTAGCAGGTTAAGAAGAGCACAGTGGTATTTCAACATGTTTCAAAGCAGCACAGAAATACATAAAAGCTTCTACAGTCCCTGTGTGTACATACAGACGTGGGTATATTTAGATATGGGCCAAGTCATTCCTTCCTCTGGCAGTCAGTTGGACATTGACTGCCGAGGTACACAGATGAATAAAGCATAGTTGCAAGTAACAGCCCTCACAAAGAACATACACTCAATATTCCCATCTTATGTGGGGCCAGTGCCACAGCATACAAGCCTAAGTCTCAGCAACGCATAAGGACACTGGTCCAGATCCTGGCTGCTTTGTTTCTGATGCAGCACCCTGCTTGTGGCCTGGGAAAGCGTGGAAGATGGTTCAAGCCCTTAACCCCCGCACCCCCACGAGAAAGCTCCTGGCTTCAGCTCAGCTCCGCTCTGCTCATTGCAGCCATCTGGGGAGTGAACCAGTGGATGGAAGACTGTCGCCTTTAACTCTGCTATTCAAACAAAATCACGAAAAAATCTTACACACACACAGAGAGACATACAGATTGCTATCTGATGATACAGATTCATCCTATTCCAACTACAACTGGTCTGGAAAGCCATCTGAATGCACAGGATCTAGCGTGCAGCATCAGAGCGCAGGCTCAAGTTCCATTTGCTCCACTTCCAACTCAACCTCCCACTAAGGCAGCTGGGAAAACAGTGGGCGAGGGCCCAAACTCGGATCCCTGCCACCCAGGGAGAGAGCCAGGTGCTGCCTCTGGTCTAGCCCAGAACTGGGTACTACCAGTTAGGGAATGGCCTGTAGACTGACATCTCTAACCCCTCCCCACTGCCGTAAGAAGCAACGTAAGCCTGGAACGTTCCTCAGACCTTGATTGACCTTGGCGGCCAAGTCCACGAAGAGATCAGTGTCGTTGTCGATGGTCTGGGAATCGGAGCGCTGCTTCTTGGTCTCTTCAACCACGAAGTCGTAGAGGGCAAGGCGATCGGCTTGGGTCAGATCACAAACAGACCGTTTGTGGTTCAGAGGAACTTCAACAGGCGCTGAAGAATAGATTCCTAAAGTAAAGATAAAACCACAAGACTAAACAATACATGAAACACCTGGATTTAGCATCTACCGTTTACTGAACATGCGCCAAAATAATGTCATATTAATACCAACGACTTCTTCCCATAGTAATCGCTGAATACATAAGACATCAATCTCTGATCAACGCTGACTCTCCTGAATGCTAAATCCAGAGTCAGGACATACTAGAGATGCTTGCTACACAGGCAGAACTACCGAAGAGAATCTTGGGTAAGCATTTCTCACGGGCTATCTGTATCACGAAAGTCTTTCTTTCTGTGCTTGTTTCCCCAGAGATGCTGAAAAAAAACCTTAACAGATAACACATTATAGTCTCTGAAAATAAATTATAAAAAAATTTGTTTTTGAAAAAAAGTTTTTTTTGCATAAAGTATCAAGCTTCAAGTTCATATTCAAAGTAACTGTATAACGACTTAGAAGTAAGGGCCAGAAGCCGACTGGGCAGCAAATCTGCCACACTTCCTCAGACCGGAAACACAGCACAAATGAGAACTGAATCTAATTTCTCGAGGAGGAAGTGTACTGGTGTAACCAACTTAACTGAAGACCCTGAATCGCACTGCCCCACCCCCTCCCAACAGTCACAGAACTTTCTAAATCTGTTCATTAATGAAAAAAAGTAAATACAATACCTTGGTATGATGTATTAAACATTGAAGAAAATTTGTTTGGGACTCAAATTTTCTCAAATAAAAATGATTACAACTGTAAATAAAACAATTTAAAACAATTCTCTTTCTAGACTTCAGGCCTCACTAGCGCAAGCAGAGAACATGAGCTACAAAGGACTCGTCTCAGTGTCTCCTGGTTGATGGCAGAGCAGCGCTGCATCCGTCACAGCTCGTTCCAGGTCCCCACATTCGACAGCCTCTAACTGCTTCCGGGTGAAGGGGCACCCGGGCTCCAATGAGAGCTTGCTGAGCTAGGCACTACAACCGCGAGAGACGACTTGCCGTCAGCGTCCACGTCCAGGGGACAGCGACAGTGGACTGGAAGCCATGCTTTAACAGCTACGGGGAACAAGACACAGGCCACTCGTCCTAATCAGGGATTCATGGGGAAGAAGGGTTCCCTCTCCAGGCAATTTTTGACTCAAATTCTGGCAGGAAGTGGAACAGCCCCTCCATGCAGCCAGGGGTTAAAACATGTAACTTCATAGCAGAATGATCAGAAGTTAGCTTTCGTAAGCCTACCTCCTTTGAACACTAGAAATCAGTGACGATTTACAAACAAGCTCCACATGAACTCTGCCTGTCATTTTTAAACAAAGAAATACAATTTCTTCTTAAACAATTGTGGCATTTCATTTTAAATTTCTCCAGGATATCTTCAGACTGACACTTAAATTCCTTCAAATTCAACCAAAACTCCAAATCAGGACCACAATATTGCAACAGCTATTGAACTAAAGGTTAGAAATGTGAGTGACACTTTTAAAAGGATATCATTTGCAAAAAGGATACTGCATATCTTTAAATAAGGAGTACATTCAGGTTCCTAATTCCTCTTTATACTCACCCCAATTACTGAAAAAGAAAAAGTACAGGAAAAGTTAAACAACAAACTGCATTCAAATCATTCAGAACACAGATATTTCTGACAAAAAGAGAAAGATGGAGAAATACTTCCATAAGCGCACATTCCTATAAAACGTAACTCTTCACACGTTTCGGTATGCTGCCATTAGCCATCCCCAGCCCCCCAACTCCCTGATCTTTGGCAGTTTTAAAAACAATGGCAACAATAAGAGCTCAAGTCTGACCATTTAACTATCTTCAAACACACGGGCCCAGTCCTGGGCCACCATGTATGCTCCGCACAGCTGTGGAAGCCCCTCTACTCACCTGCCAAACCGGAAATCTAACCTGCTTTTTAGAATAACACTCTCTCAGCCTGTTTGTCCCTTCTGCCATCTCGGGACATTTTCGAGTAAAACAAAGAATATTAAACAGTAGTCTCAAAAACACAAATTCAGATTTTGTAAAAGAATTCAGACAATTCCATAACATTAGAAACAAACTGAGGCCCACTGAAATAAAATTCTAAGTAGCAGGAACAGACTGGGTCTGAAGTTACTGAATCCTGGTTCCAGAAGGTTCCTGCACAGCACACTGGACTTAAAGTCATGGACGTGCATCAAGCACAATGCATGAAGTTGGAGCACAGCAACTCGTGTATTTAACATTACAGGAAAAAGACAAAGCACGAAACAGAAAATGAACGTAAGTGATTGTGTCTGCAATTAACATCTTGGCTATAAAATTAACCAAAGCATATCTGAAAATAAACAAGATCCAATGATTGTTCAAACTTTCATAGAGTCGATGACTCAGGGGTCTATACTCAAGCTAGGCCTGGGCCCTGACAAAATTCAAACATAAATACAGCCCTGTCAAAAAACTGACATTTTAATGCATCACAAATATTAGATCAGAAAACATAAAACTGCTCGTGTGAGACATTCTTCTTCCTTCAACACACCAACAGAGAAATTTTAAAATGTCAAAGTAAAAGCAGATCACAAAAATCCTGGTGCTGAGCAGCTCCAGAACTCCACGCAGAATCTGAAGAGTGGTCTCAAACTGCGCACAGCCTGAGGACAGCTGGGAGTATTTTCCAAGACACGGGAAGCCGTCCTCTGCGTCACCATGTGTTGGTCTCCCAATGCCTGAGCATGGGCTAGGTGGCCAGCAGGGACCCTGTCCCCGGGAAGAAAGCAGAAACAGGCACGAGGCTGTCACGCCTCCAAGGCTTACTTCCCCACGATGAACTGATGCAGGAACAGCAGTGACACGAGAAGGCATGCGTGGGAAGTTTGTGATATTCTTCTATGGAATGAATAACAAAAACGAGCACATCTGAGCATGTGCACGGATTTGCAGACCCCTGACCTAGGAGAGCTGCTTGGTGAGGCAGTGTGCCACACCTCAGAACTTGGTCCGGATCCAGCTTTGCTCTCACGCAGCAGAAGAGAGCTACTGCCCCTGTGCCTGCTTCTCACCAAACAAGGGAAAGACACTGTGCAGCCAGCATTGTTGTGAAAGAGAAATGAAATACACAAGAGCTTTGCAGAAGAACCATTAAAACCTGACGTTGTGAAGAGCCTGGCAACGCGCGGAGCAGACCTGATTCAGTCTGTCACAGGTTCCCTTGTCTGCAGAAAGCACATGGACCCTGACTGGATCCCCGCGGCCTCTCCCATCTCTGACATGAACTCAGCCAATCAACCGCACCACTTAAGCCTCAAATGTTCACTCTTTCAAAACCCTAAACTTCTATTTTTGCACTGGTTCATTAACTAAACGGGGCAATGGCAGAAGCAGTAACAGGCTTGGCTGCTCACGGCTCAGCAACCTCTAGGAACACCACTAAAGCCCAACATCTTCCCAAAGAAACCTGGCCCCTGGCTCACAGGCTCTGAGGCTGGCCCCTGGCTCACAGGCACTGAAGCTGGCCCCTGGCTCACAGGCACTGAGGCTGGCCCCTGGCTCACAGGCTCTGAGGCTGGCCCCTGGCTCACAGGCACTGAAGCTGGCCCCTGGCTCACAGGCACTGAGGCTGGCCCCTGGCTCACAGGCACTGAGGCTGGCCTCTCCAGCAGGCAGCAGAACAAGTGTGCTTTAGCCAGCGATCCAGGAGCCCCGACTCAGGGCAAGCAGCCTTCCTCTGAGCCTGGGCACCCCGGGGAAATCAAGGCCAGGCATCTGAACCTGCACACTAGAAAAAAACCAACCCTCACTACAGCCTGCTCTTGTGGGAGAGGAGATCCCAGCATAGCCACAGATGCCAAACCTGCTGGGCTCCTGGGTAAAGCTGTGTCTGCTCTTGTGGGGGAGGGGATCCCAGCACGGACGCAGAGGCCTGTCTGGCCTACATGTCCACTGTGACAACCCACCAGCACCTTCAGGAGCAAAGCTTGGGGCAAGTATTCACTAGAAAAGAAATTCACTCATTAGGTAATTCCAAAATATCAATCTGCAGCTAAGACGGTGCCCACATGAGCCACATCTGAGCAAGACATACTCAACAAATGAAACGGGAACAGTGGGTTGGCCTCAGGTCTAAAGGTAAAACTTCACCTTCCCCAGGTAGGCTTTCAGCATTGGTTTGTCTCAAGCAATCTGCAGCAGGTGCTCACGGAAGAAAACTTACTTAATTCACCGAGTTAGTTCCACTACGAGGTTACTTACTTTGGTTGCACTCGCCATCCTTCCCCGCTGCAGCTCTAGCCTGTTTAATGACGTGGAATTGTGAGTCCTTATCTGCCAGATAAAGAGGTAACGCGTAAGCGCGTCAGAAACCGCGAGTCCACAGTTACCTGATTCACCAGTTCACAGAGCTGCCTGTGTCACCTGGACACAGAACGCCTTCACGTCTGTCCAGAGCCTAAGTGACCATACCTCCAACTGACCAACCAAGCGCCAGGCAGGCCGCCCTGCCGCAGCGGTTACACACTCTGGACTAATAACAGCTAACATGGCTTCTGCTTCGGCCGAGAGCCACGCCCAACTCCAAACATCATTATTTAATCCTCACGAAGTAATTCTCTCATCATCCCCATTTTATAAAGAAACTTAGGCAACCAACTCTGAAAGTGACAGGGCTGTTACTGACTAACCCAGGAGCCCAAGACCTGACCTCCATCCGCCGTGTCTTCAGACATACCTCTAGTCTGAGGCGACTGTCCCACCACACTGAGGGTTGCCTGAGTACCAGAGGGCATGACCTAGGCCCAGTGAACATGGAGCCTCAACTCTTCTCAAGTTCTCAGTGTCCTCCATGTCCTTACAATGCTTAGGAAATTCATTATCATTCAGAAAAGGACAATGACTAATACTTACTCAAAGTAATTGAAGGTACTTTTACATTCTCATAGAAAAAACCAGGATTATACATTTCTTCCTAATAGTAAAAAAAAAAAAAAAGTTAGTGCTCTCAAATTTCAAAAATGGCTTACGTTAAGATTAGTACAACTTACACACTTTTGGAACTATGACATTAGAAAACTGTCATCCTTTCCTATAACCTCTGTTTTGAATAAGGGTCACTGAAGCTACTGAAGGCATATCGGAAGACACCTTCCAAATGCTGCCATTTCCTCATGCACAGACGGCACGGCACGCATGTACAGCACATGAACACACACTACCTCTTCTTCCTTGGTGTAGCCCAGCTTCCTCAGTCTGCACGATTCCACATGTTTTGCTAACGAGGATTTTGGCATGCGATGATTTGAATCATAAGGACATATCACAATTTCATCCTATAAAATACAAAATTTTCAAAATATTCGCAACATAATTGTACCAACAAACGTTATTGCTTGATTGGGGTGTGACATGGCATCTTCTCCTCAGGTGTCCCTCAACTCAGGTATGTTCAAGTGTTTTAGAAAAACTGCCCCATTCCTCCATCTTGCTGAGACCTCCGCCCTCTCCTGGGCTACAGAGATGGAGGGTGAACCCAGCAGAGGAGCTGTGGGAGCAGTGGCCAGTGGCTCCTGCTGCTGAACATGACAACCGGGACCCAGTCGGGCAGGGCTGCAACCCAGGCTGGGCAGGGCTACAGCACCCACTGGTCTGCATGGGAGCTGGGTTGGGGGAGAGCCAGGCTGGGCCTAAGCGACCACACCCACTGGTGCATGCATGAGCCACAGTTAAGTGCAGGCTGGCTGGGCTTTGCTGCAGCATCAGCTGGCAAGTGCTGAGATTAGGGGCAAGTCCTGTGCCTGGAAAGTGCAAGATTCAGGGCTGGGAGTGGACCCAACAGGGAAACTGTGGGCTGCAGCTCCTACTAGTGAGCAGGAGAACCAGGGCTGGGTCAGACCTGGCGACACAAGCATGAGCGTGGGTTGAATAGTGGGGTCAGTTGGATTGAGCCAATGCCCAACGATGTGTAAAAGTTGAATGGGATGCAGGACAGATTGGACCAGTCTGCTGCACATACCAGCATGCACAGGAAACTGGGTTGGAGGTGGGCCTCGTAGGGACTATTGGAGGTCCCTGGGACTAGGCTGCAGTTCTCACTGGTGTGCACGAGGGTCAAGTGTGTGGAGGGCAGGGTTAGGATGGCACGCAGCATCCGCTGGTTTGCCCATGACATTGGGCTGGGGACAGAACTGACCATGCGACTATAGTCACAAGTGTGATCTATGTGGGCAACAGAGTGAGCCAGACCCCAAACTGGCTGAAACACATAGGAGTCAGGTCTGGGGTCACCTCTGGCCAAGTGTCTTTGGGGACTCCCCCAACTGGATCACTGGACTCAGAACTCCAACCATAGTGCAAATCACAGCACCTGTGCTCTGACCATGCTCAGGGGAGACATAACAACCAGTTCAAGGAGGCCTGCAGAGGACATCTAGCACCATGGAGGACAGGCCAAATTGGATAGTCTCCTGGACAAATACTTCAGCAAGTCGAGACCCTAAGCTGGACAACGTAAGCCAATGGACCCTGGAAGGATTTCCTTAACCTTGGAGCAATGAAATCAACAGCATTTCAGAAGAATCAAAACCACTTAGGCAGTATCCTAGGAACATGCTCCACATTGGGGATGCTGGGATGACACTGGGTGGCTGTGCTCCTTTCCTGGGTACTGGGAGTTACCCACAGAGGGCTGGGAGCGACCCTCTCCCCTTCTCTCTCTACTTTCCCCAGATACAGAAAGAAACAATGAGATTGGAGGCAGTTGTCTCATCCACTTTGCCCCATTCCTCCACCCTCCCCACCCTCACCGGTGCCCCACAAGGCCATGCATTCGTCCTCTGTAGCCCCGGACGGCTGGTGCCCCACAAGGCCATGCATTTGCCCAGTGATTCCTCATCGCTCCTGAAGCCGGTTAGCAGCTCACCCACCGAAGCTACAGAACAACTCAGTCTTTACGGAAGGTCACCTGCAGTGCCCACCCACACTGGTTCCACTGGGCCCCTGAAGGTCGGGGTTCCATGTGTGCCCAGTGACCGATTACTCTTCTATCCACACTTGTACAAGACCTCACTCTGCAGATGACTCCCAAAACCTACATCTTCACAACTTGCTCTTCTGAGTACTTTAAAGACACAAGTCAGCACAAGCAAAAAATGAATTTGTTACATTCATAGTCTCCTATAAACCTGAAACCTGGTCCTCTCTGTTTTCCTACTTAACTCACAGGTCCCACTTGTTTAAGCCAAAAACCAAACAAAACACCTGTTCTTTCTCCACTCAAATGCACTCAATCACCCGTCCTGCCATTTTATTCCTAGATACCCTGGAAGTCCCTGCCACGGTCTGGCCACAGGGCCCTGCCCCAGAGCTCAGTGCCCAGCTGCAGCACACCAGCGGCACCCACTACCCGCTCGTGCTCACACTACCTGCTTCCTGTCTTGCTGCCACCCAGCCCACTCTCCACGCTGGGACTCGTGTCAGCCTCGGCTCTGCCACTTGCTGGACCAAGCAGGTAACCTGTCTGCCCTCACCCACCAGACACACTCAGCAGGACCTTATGAAGTGATCCTGGAAACTAAATTATTAATATATTATATTAAGTTGTTACACACAAGTCCACGCTCTGGCTGAACTGGAGTCAGAGAGGCAGGAAAAGGGGACACATTGCCCGCCTCCCCTGCCATGGAGGCCTCCCCATTGCCTCCCAGTGTCTGCAGGGCAGGAAGCTGGAACCAGGTCCTTACAAACAGTAAGCACAGGCAGTTATCACTGCATTAAAGGACAGATGTGACTGTGACATATCACTCCTCTATTGGCCTCATTTTTAAAAGAGAAATCTAGAAGTTTTGTGCCCCAGGTGAGTGGTGGCCTGATGCTGGTACCCCACACTGTAGCACTGGCTCAAGGCCTCACTGCTCTGCTTCCAATCTAGCTCCTTGCTGCACAGGGCTGGGAAAGCAGCACAACCCTGCTACCAAGTGAAGATCACAATAAAGTTTCTGGCCCCTGGTTTTGGCCTGAGCAGACCCGGCCACTGCGGCTACCAGGTTAGCCAACAGATAAAATATTTCTTTGTCTCTCCCTTTCACTCTGCCTTTCAAAGAAATACATCAGTCTTCAAAATAAAAATAAAAAGATCCAGACTCCCTAACAGCCTGCCAAAGGTCCTGCCCTTCACCCAGGCCTGCCAAGGACCTGTGGGATGCGGGTCCCGCCGCTGTGCCCAGGCCTGCCAAGGACCTGCAGGATGCGGGTCCCGCCGCTGTGCCCAGGCCTGCCAAGGACCTGTGGGATGCGGGTCCCGCCCCTGTGCCCAGGCCTGCCAAGGACCTGTGGGATGCGGGTCCCGCCGCTGTGCCCAGGCCTGCCAAGGACCTGTGGGATGCGGGTCCCGCCGCTGTGCCCAGGCCTGCCAAGGACCTGCAGGATGCGGGTCCTACCGCTGTGCCCAGGCCTGCCAAGGACCTGTGGGATGCGGGTCCCGCCGCTGTGCCCAGGCCTGCCAAGGACCTGTGGGATGCGGGTCCCGCCCCTGTGCCCAGGCCTGCCAAGGACCTGTGGGATGCGGGTCCCGCCGCTGTGCCCAGGCCTGCCAAGGACCTGTGGGATGCGGGTCCCGCCGCTGTGCCCAGGCCTGCCAAGGACCTGCAGGATGCAGGTCCTGCCGCTGTGCCCAGGCCTGCCAAGGACCTGCAGGATGCGGGTCCTACCGCTGTGCCCAGGCCTGCCAAGGACCTGATCACCACGCTCCTTCCACCTACACGTGATACTTCACTCATGTTGGCATCCCTTTGTCTCTAGATTCTCTTTTGTGTTGTTGGTGTTGCAGTTGTATTTGCCTGTTTCTTCCCTTGGCAGTTTAGAGTTTATTTCTGCCCTAAATTACTTCCTGAATAACAAGAGTGGAACAGCCAAACAGCATTTACACTGTGTTAGGCACAAGTAAAATAGAGATAAAGTGCAGGGAAGATGGTCATAGGTTATTTGCAAATACTACATCATTCTGTAACAGGAACTGAACTTGCACAGAATCCGGTATCTGCCAGGGTGTCTTGGAAGCGACACCCACTGGCCTGGCACGGTGGTCTAACGACTAAAGTCCTTGCCTTGCATGCCCGGGATCCCATACGGGTGCTGGTTCTAGTCCAGGAGGCCCCATTTCCCACCAGCTCCCTGCTTGTGCCTGGAGAAGCAGTCAAGGACAACCCAAAGCCTTGGGACCCTGCACCACGTCGGAAACCCAGAAGACGCTCCTGGCTCCTAGCCTTACATTGGTTCAGCTCTGGTGATTGGGGCTGCTTGGGGAGTGAACCAGCACATGGGGGATCTTCCTCTCTCTCTCTCTCTCCTCCTCTCTGAATATCCAACTTCCCAATAAAAATAAATTAAATCTTAAAAAAAAAAAAAAAACACACCCACCGCCTCACAGATAACCGAGGGTGGCTGTCTCTTCCTCCCCGACACCACACAGTGGCTTCTGAGGACAGGAACGGTGGAGGAAACCGCATGCGAGCAGAAACGTGGGTTCAGCACCCAGGAACTGCGGGTGTCACTTGACCAGATGTTTAACTTGGCCTCGCTCCCTTATAAAGTCAAGTGCCCCCGGAGCAGAAGCCAGGATGCCGCGTGCAGCCCACTGCTGCCAGTTACCAGCAGGAGTCCCGGACAGCCCCGCTCTGTCAGGAGTGGCCACAGCGCCTTCCTCCCAGGGTGACCCTGCCATGTGCCGGCAGGAGCCCTGGACAGGAGTGGCCACAGCGCCTTCCTCCCAGGGTTGTCCGGCTGTAGGACCAAGTAAACGGGCGTCCGCGGGGTCCCGGCCCGGTGCGCCCGGCCGCTGCCCGCCATGCCCTCCCGACCTTCCCGGGGCCCTCCATGCCCTCCCGGGGCCCTCGCCGCTGCCCGCCATGCCCTCCCGACCTTCCCGGGGCCCTCGCCGCTGCCCGCCATGCCCTCCCGACCCTCCCGGTGCCCTCCATGCCCTCCCGGGGCCCTCGCCGCTGCCCGCCCGGTGGACTCGGAGCGCGCCTGCCCCTTTCTCTGCACCTCCGCCGCGTCCAGCTGCTCCAGGCTCCAGCCCAGCGACGCCGTGACCTCGTCCAGCGTCCGCCAGCAGCTCTCCACGAACTCGCTCAGCTCCGCCTGCAGCCGTCGCCGCTCCTCCAGCGAAGGAGGTTCGGCCGCCATGGCCACGGCCCACCCGCCCGGAGAAGGCGGAAGGGGCGGGGCTGGCGGCGGCGCGCGCGGGCCGCTGGGAACTGGGGGCGCGGCCACCTCCGCCACGTGACTGCGCCCGGGCAGGGCGGGAGCTGTGGTTTTGAGAGATGGTTTCCGGTACGCTCCAGCGACTTCCTGTATGGTGTTCCTTAGCTGCTGCCGCTTGCTGGTCTACGTTCTATCCTCTCCTGCAACTTTATTGCTTTTTATTTATTTTTTTTTAAAGATTTATTTTTGTTATTTTTTATTGGAAAGGCGGATATACAGAGAGGAGAGACAGAGAGGAAGATCTTCCTCCGATGATTCACTCCCCAAGTGAGCGCAACGGGCCGATACTATGCCCATCCGAAGCCAGGAGCCTCTTCCGGGTCTCCCACGCGGGTGCAGGGTCCCAAAGCTTTGGGCCGTCCTCGACTGCTTTCCTAGGCCACAGGCAGGGAGCTGGAAGGGAAGCGGGGCTGCCGGGATTAGAACCGGCGCCCATATGGGATCCCGGGCGTGCAAGGCGAGGACTTAACCACTTGCGCCACCGCGCCGGGCCCCACTTTATTGCTTTTTAAAAGAAAAAAAAAAAAAATGTGTATCCTTCTGCTCCTTAACCATTCCCATTTTGCCGCGCTTGGTTTCTCTTGGAGTGTTATCATACATTGTCACGCATTCCTAAAAATGTTCCATTTCTCACTTGTCCCTCAAATTCTTTCTGCCAATTTTATTGCTTCAATGCATCAGTCATATTTACTCACGGTCCCTTTTACCCTAGAACACTCTTCTCCAACTTCCTTATTTAAGATTTATTTTTATTGGAAAGTCAGATATGCAGAAGAGGAGAGACAGAGAGGAAGATCTCCCTTGTGCTGGTTCACTCCCCAAGTGGCTGCAATGGCTGGAGCTGAGCCGATCAGGAGCCAGGAGCCTCTTCTGGGTCTCCGACGTGGGTGCAGGGTCCCAAGGCTTTAGACCATCTTCCACTGAATTCCTAGGACACAGCAGGGAGCTGGACAGGAAGGGGAGCAGCTAGGACTTGAACCATATGGGATCCTGGCACATGCAAAGCAAGGATTTAGCTGCTAAGCTGTTGGGCTGGACCTCCAACTTCCTTTTTAAATTAAGACTGTGGGACTTTGCCACCCACATGGCACACTTGGGTGCCTGGTCTGAGTCCACCCCAGGAGGCAGGGGCAACGGCTCAGGTGGAAGGTCCCTCCCTGCCTCTGGGATGAGACACCCAGATGGAGTTCCTGGCTCCCTGGCCTCTGCCTGGCCCGGGCCATTTGTGCCAGCATTTGGAGACCGAACCAGTAGATGAGGGAACCCATCTCCCTGCCCTTCAAGTTAAATCTAAAAAAATAGAGGGATCTGCATGGTGGTATTTTCATTATTCACTAAATATATTCGCATAGAGTTTGCTTTGTGGTAGGCATCTTTATCTTGAAAAGATTTAAAGTATATGGGAGGATGGACGTGGGCATTTTAATAAGGCACTGGAACAGCCGCAGATTTTATCCCCATGGTGCTGAGAGAACTGCAGTGTTCTTTTCAAAAAAGAAAAATGATGACAAAAGTCTGATCAGTACCCAAAAATATGAAAGTGGACCAATAGCTGCAGGGAGGTGTGGATTAAGGTGTGAGTTTACCAGTCATATATTAACATCCTTCTCATCTCCGTGGTTAGATTGTGTGGGAAGCGGGGATCTAGTCGTGGCTGTAGCATGCTGACTCCGTAGCAGTTACATGAGTTTCCATGGTCTGTAATGTACCATGTATGGGAACCTTACCCCAAACATGACCTGCGCTGGGCCAAGCGTGTGCCCTGTGCAGGACACAGACCTCTCAGTGCAGTGACAAATTAGCCAGCAGTTTGTGACTGGTCAGCACTTGTCCACTGACTGCACCCTCTTGCTGTTACTGTAACATGAGCAGCCGTTCACCGGTGCCACCACCATCTGTGGAATCATCACACTGCAGGCGGATTGCCAGACCCATGCTAGGAAGCTTTGTCAAAACTCAGTCGGGTCCCCTTTCACCCATATGTTACAGCCCTACACTACCAAGTGCTGTGGGGCTGTAGATGAGGGTTGTAAGACGGTGATCTGGGTTATATGGGTGGGCCCCTCACTTTGTGAGACATTGCTTACCATTTGCTCAATGTGAGCGCCATCATAAGACACGCCTATGAGCTACAAGGTGGTGTCCCCAGAAAGCAGCCATGACCGTCTCCTGATCTTCAGAGCTGCATGAGGGCAGCCTGCAGTGGCAGCCAGCTCCCCAGCCCTAGCCCAAGCAAGCACATCTCCACAGCAGAACTGGCTGCTGCTTATTTCTGTACCATGCATTTCCAGTGGGAATTCATGGCTTCTAGAACAGTGCATGGCACACAGACATCAGTACTCTGAAAGATATGATCTTCAAGGCTTCGAAATTAGGAGTGTACCAGGAGCGAGAGAAGGAGAGGTGAGCTAAGGAGGAGAGCATTGCCCTGCAGGAGAGGTGAGCTAAGGAGGAGAGCATTGCCCTGCAGGAGAGGTGAGCTAAGGAGGAGAGCATTGCCTTGCAGGAAAAATGGCTGTTTAATGAGGAAGGGGAGGTTTTCAGTCTAAGTGCCAAAAGCCTTCATTAGGCAAGTATTACCCCAAGTCATGATCTTTTTGATTCTATACAGGTAGTGTTTGATCTGCTCTCTTTTCTCTGGAACCTGTCTTTGAAAGCGATCCCACTGATGGCTTTACGTGTGCCTTCTACCCCGCTGCAAGTACAAACCAGTAACACTCAGGGAATTTGTCTATTCTTCTGAATCTTCGAGATACCCAGCTCGATACTAGACATGGTACAAGTTCAGTAAACTCATGTCAGATTTAATGACAAACGTCTGGCTTTCATAGCTTCTCTTCGATCAAAGCGAATCGGCTTATATATTACACTGGCATTCAGTAGAGAACCACAAAGTTTTCTGGAATAATTTTCAAAGATTGAAAGACTGAAGAACAGCTTTGTTCCCCTCTTAGGGACAAAATGAAATACCCTCTATTTTTGAGGGTACCTAAAAAAGGAATGTAACCAACTTTTATGCTGTTTTTTCCCCCCAATTCTGAGATACTGACTTTTTGCCACTGCTACTTGGCACTTACTGCCCAGAATAAACTAGGTGAGCTCCAAGCTGGCCTCTTTCTACCAGTTCATTCCTGAGCAAACTATATGACAGGCACTCAACAAATACTAGAAGAACCAAGTTCCGAGGAAACCCTCTAACAAGAATTCTAAGACTGCTTAAGGTCTTGCTTCCCAGGATCTAGCTAACAAGTAGTTTTAGGCCTACTCTACAATAAATTAAAAACCTGCTCTTAAAGGCCCTTGTGGATACAAACAATGTTCAATGAAAACACAGAAACTTCAAAAGTCTAAAAGTTTATTGCTAGAACTGCAAACTTCATAAAGATGCTTTTTTAAAGTACATAGAAAATGACAAGCAAAATAAACAGAGAACTTTGACCCAAGAAAACTAAAGATTACTGCTATCACGCCAATACAGTCAAATTAATAGCAAACCAAACAAGTACATTAAAGGGCATATGGGCTTTACAATCCACATCCTAAAGGATCCTAACAAGGACTCACTCCCAAACAGTCGGGATAGGGATGGTTGTGCAGGGATGCGATTTTCTCCTAATACAGAACATGAAAATATATGGATGAGGGGCCGAACGGCTAACGTTACCAGTGACCAGTTTATTTCCAAGTACTGAAATCTGGATTATAGTCCAAAGAAGTTGAAGCAGAATTGGTCAGAAATCTAAACAGAGCGGAAACAAATTCTAACTTCGATTTGTGCTATCCTTACAGCTGATCATTCGGCACACCAGTGCACTGCATTACATGAACTAAAAAGAAAATGCCACCACAGCCTTTCGCTAGCTGATGTCAAGCATGGCTGTTTTCTTGAAGCACAGCAAAATTCTATCACTATATCGCCAAGCACCATTTTTTAAAATTGTTATTATTATCACTACCTAAGTGGAAATCAATGCCAACGAGGGCACAGAACACCCGCCCAAGAAGCCCACTAGTGCCCGATAGAGCTACTACTGAAGGAGTAGGAATAGGAGAAGGAGGAGTTGCCCGTGGCGTCGAAGCTTCCCCTCCGGGAGCCGGAGCGCGAGCCGGAGCGCGACCCTGACCGCGAGCCGGAGCGCGAGCCGGAGCGCGAGCCGGGCGCCGAGGACATGTTGTAGGGGCTGGGTAAGCCCTTGGAGGACACGGACGCGGCCTCCAGAAGGCGTAGCCCCGTGATATCCTCCACCATGGAGCGATTCATGGCATCCTTGTAGGAGATTTTCAACTTGGTCTTGGGGCAGGTGAGGATCTTGGCGTAGCTGCTGGTGTCTTGCAGCCTCTGGGCGGCTCGGCCGTCAATGAAGCCCTTCCTGATGGCCTCCTCTGTGCTTATCCGGCCGTGCACTTCGGGGTCGACGAGGCCCCCCGTGAGGAACTGGAACTCCAGGAAGCGCTGCCCGGCCTCATAGGGGAGCCACTTCTCTTTCACGGCCTCGGCGGCCGACATCTTCTTCTTGCCCTTGACGCCCTCGAAGCCGATGAAGGCTTTCTGGGCGGGCTTGAGCCTCGTGGCCATATCCTGGTCAATGAGCCCCTGGGAGACGGCGTCCTGCAGCGACAGCTTCTGCCCTGTGGTGGGGTGGATGATGCCGCCCGTGCACGCCTGGGCCTCCAGCAGCCGCTGCCCAGTGATGCTGTCCACGATGCCCCGCTCGATGCCCTCCGTGATGGAGATCTTCTCCAGGTTTTCCGTGTCAAAGATGGCCGCAATGGGGCTGGACTCTTCCAGCGGGTCGGACAGCGAGCTGCTGCGGATGGTCAGATTCCGGACGCTGGAGATGGTGGAGATCTTGCTGACGGACTCGTGTCTGGAGCTACTGAAGACATCGTCACCGATGCTCCCGGCTAGGCCGGCCCCTCCGCCGCCACCGCCACTGGCGCCGTTTTTCAAGGAGATCATGTCGGCAAACTGAGTGAGACTGAGGCTGCCGGACCGGTACTGATCAAAGAACTTCCTCTCCACCAGGCCCTTGTCAATGGCGTCCTGAATGTCGTACTGGCTGCCCGTCTTCCTGTCGACCAGCACGACGCGCGTGGAGCCGTCGGAGCCCGTGATGGTGATCTCCTCCCACTCGCACTCCTGCTCACACAGCTCCTTGAAGGTCTCGTAGTCGATCAGGCCCTTCTTGTAGGCCTCCTGCACGGACATCTCCTTGCTGCTCTCTGGGTCCACTATGACCACTCTCCGTTTCCGCAGGGTGTTCTTCTGGGACGTCTGCACCTGCTTCTTCTTTTCCTTCAAGGGCAGAAGACAGAGCCCCGTCTCCTCGTCCTTAATGCATCTTTCTTTGAGCTGCAGGTACGTGAGATTTTCTTCCGTGTTGGGATCAAAGAATCCTTTCGTGTCGTCGCTCGGATCGGAAAGGATCTCGCTGAGCTCCTCATTGAAATAGCCCCGCTTGTAGGCCATGTCCACGGGTAGGCGATGGCTCTCCTTGGGGTCAATGATGCCCCCGGTGGCGATCTGGGCTTCCAGTAGGCGGATGCCGTGGCCCTTCTCGATGAGCTCCTTGTTCATGGCTTGGAACAGAGAGATGATATTTCCGGTCTCGGGGTCGTTATAACCTGTCACGGCTCGCTCCGCAGACAGCAGCTTCTCCTTGAACTCGATCCCCACCAGGCCTCTTTTATAGGCCTCCTCCACCGGTAACCTCAAGTTGCTCACAGGGTCTACGATGAAGCCAGTCGCAGCCTGGGCTTCCAGCAATTCCAGAGCGGTGCCTGGTCGGACCAAGCCAATTTTCATGGCCTCATAGATGCCGAGCTTCTGCTTGGTGGTCTCATTGTAGATGCCTGCTATGCAGCTCGAACCCTGGAGGAAGTCCTTAATTCTTTCGCCGACCTCATCGTAAGAAATCTGGCCCGACTCCAGCTCGTTCACGGTGGACGGCCTCAGGATCCCGGAATCTACGAGCTCAGTGACGGTCACGGGCTGGCGGATGCCCTGGAAGGACATGCTCCTCTTCTGGACCGACAGCAGGAGCAGACCCGTGTGCGGCTCCACGCGGCACCGCTCCCGCAGCTGCATGTAACTCACCTTCTTCTTCGTGACTGGATCCACAAAGTTTTTCTGACTGTCTCGGGGATCGTTCAGGGACCGGTACAAATCTCTGTCAATGAGCCCGCGGGCCAAAGCGACATCTTTTGGCAAAAAGACACTGTTCACGGGGTCCACCACGCCCCCCGAAGCAAGCTGGGCTTCCAGCAGGCGCATGCCAGTCTCCCTGTCGATCAAATTTTTCTTGATGGCTTCCGACACAGACACCGTCTTGCCTGAAAATGGGTCATCGAAACCCGTGATGGCCTTTTCCGCCATGTAGATCTGCTGGCGGTCGTCGAAGTCGATGAGGTCCCGCGCGATGGCGTTGTCCACGGTCAGCTTTTCATTCCGGTGGGGGTCGATGACGCCGCCCGTGGCCGCCTGGGCCTCCAGGAGCATGACCGTGGCCTCCGGGCTGATGAGCTTCTTCCTCTTGGCCTCCACCAACGAGTATTTCTCCTTGGGAGAAGCAGACGCTCCAGCGATGGCGCCCGCGCCCCGGAGGAAAGGCTGGATTTCCGAGGCAACCTCTTCCACCGACTTCTTGCCCTTCAACAGCTTGTCCAGCGTCGTCTTGTCGATCAGCTGGCACTCGTAGAGCTGCATGGCTGTCACCTTCTTCCTCAGCCCGTCGAACACCAGCTTGGAGGAGTCGACAGTCCACTCGCACTCGGTCTGGGTCTCCCGGTGGGACCCGTACGGGCGCTGCTGCAGCTTCTCGATCTCCCGCTGCAGCCGGGAGCGCTCGGTCTCGAGCTGCGACTGCGTCTCCCGGCTCGAGTCCTCCAGCTTGCGCCGGCACCGCTCCTCGATCCTCTTGATCTCGGCCTGCAGCCGCTCGATCTCGCTCCGCAGGCTGTTCTTCTCCCGCTCGCTCTTCTCCCGCTCCGACTCGATCTTCCGGATGGCCTCCTCCTTGCGGGAATACTGCGTCTTCCACTGGTTCAGGTCGTTCTGGATCTGCTGCTTCTCGCTCTCCAGGCGCTGCTTCACCCTGGTCTCCGCCTCGAGCGTGGCCTTGGCGCGGCTCAGCTCGTCCTCCAGCCTCTGCAGCCTCGCCTTGTCCTGCTCCAGGACTTTGATCTTCACCAGCAGGCTCTCCCTTTCCTGTACCACGTGGCTGCACTGGTTCTTCGATTCCTGAATCCTATTAGATGCCTAGGATTTAGAAACAAAGAAAAGAGAGAAAAAGAATCATGACTGCCAGAATTTAACTTCCTTCTCCATCTTAAACAAAAATGAGTTCAATTCTTTTCCTCTCTGTGTTCTCTGGATATACTTTTAGTTATCACAAATGCATGGCACATTCTAGAGACCTGCGTTTGCCATTTTCATAAATGGCAGATACTGTCATGATACTGATTTCCACACAGGAACTCTACAGCTGTCTTGTTAATCATCGACAAACACGCACAGGTTCATTCCAGGCCATCCTACCTGCTCTGTATCTACAGCTCATCAACCCTGGCTACACTGCCACGCTTACTGAAGCAACACGACACGTGAACACATGGCCGCCCCACCCAGCCCCACACAGACACTGTCTATGAAAGGCAGACGTATTAGAAATTAAGTTATTTTTGTATTAGGAGTTAAACGGACAAGACCAAGTAAAAAGAAGTGCATTAGGATCAGGAGCAAAGGAGAACAGCCATGCTTGCAGGAAAATCTTCAAGCAGAAAAGTGATTTTGAAATTGCGCCGAGTCACGGCTCACTCAACAAGCACGCTCTCCCGGACGGTAGCGTGGCACACTCAGAGGCGGCGGCACGTGCCAGGCGTTCCGAGCGGGGCCACGTGAGCTGCACACGTGGCCTTTGACGCACTGACAGAACGGGCCAAGCAAGCAAGGACGTTGCTCTAAAGCAGTTATCTGGGTTATGGCAAGCAGTGGCGGAACAAAAGAAAAGTCAGACTTGTAAAGGCATCCGTGCAGACAGCAGAAGCACAGTTCAGCCTGCGTGAGAGTTAACGAGGCGACACACAGTGAAGCTGGGATCAAATATTTGTGAATACCTCTAAAGCCTGCTTTTGGAATTTTTCAATTTCCTGTCTCAAATTTTCCCTCTCTCTCTGCAAATCATTAATGAGGCCCTGCAGCTCCAGGGTCCGGTTGTTGCTGATCTGCAGCTGGCTCCTGAGCTCGGAGATGGTGGCGTTCTTGTCGCTGTCGGCCTCGCTGCGGCCCCGTCGCAGGTCGTCGTACTCCAGCCGCAGGTTGCGCAGCTCCTCCTCCAGCATCAGGTGCTCCTTGGTCAGGTTCTCCGTGAGGGACTGCAGCCTCTCGATCTCGATTTTGCTTTCGTTGAGGCTCCTGCTCTTCTCTTCTATGGCCTTCTGGAAATGCTCGTTCCTCAAGTGGGCCTGCTTGACGCTCTCCTGCTCCTGCACCAGCTGCCGCCGCAGGGCCTCCACCTCAGCGGAGAGCCTGCGCAGGTCCTCCTGCGTCCTCTGCTTCTCCCGCAGGTGGCCCTCCAGCACGTCCCTCTGCTGCCGGAGGTCGTCCTCGCTCCTCTTCTTGACCACGGATGCCTGCTCCAGCTGCTGGGTCAGGCTGCTGATTCTGGTGGCCTGCTCCTTCAGAGACCTCCTCATGCCTTCTAGCTCCTCTTCCAGCTTCTTCCTCTTGGAGGAGTCTTCGGAGGCCGTCCTCTTGAGCCAGCTCAGCTCCTCTTCCACCTTCTGCTTCTGCACCTGCAGCTCTTTGAGAGAGCTCTGGAACCGCGCGAGATCCTGGTCCTTGGTGGCCCTCTCCTGAGCCACCCGCTCGTAGTCGAGCCTCAGGCGCGTCAGCTCCTGCTCCTGCACCTTGAGCTTGCCGATCGTCTCGGTGGCACTGCTGTTTGCCTTCTGCAGGTCGTACTGGACCCTTTGCAGCTTCACGTTCTCGTCTTCCAGGCACTTCCGCTCTTTGGTCTCTTTGTCTATCAGCTGCTTCAGTCTTTCGATCTCCTTGTTTTTGTCCTGAATCGTCTTGGCAGCGTCGTCGAGAGACTGCTTGTACCGCAGGCCCTCCTCCGTGCGCATCTGGGTCACCTGCCTGAGCTCGGCCTCCAGCTGCTGCTTGCGCTGGGCCATCTCCGAGCCGCTGGCCTTCTGCTGCTGCATGCTGTCCTCCACCCTGCGGAGGCTGTCGGTGGCCTGCGCGAGGGTGCTCTTGAGCCGCTTGACCTCCTCCGACAAGCTCCGGTTCTCCCTGGTGAGCTGGTCAATCTGTGCGCGGTACCCGCTCGTGTCCTCCTCCTTCTGCATGGTCAGCTGGTGGATGGTGGTCTTGGTGATGTTGATCTCCGTCTCGAACTGGTTCTTCAGGCTGATGATCTGCTCATCGTAACTGTTCCTTACCTTACCCAGTTCATTCTCATACTCCCAGCGGCGCTTGGCCTCCGCCTGGAACTCGGCCTTGAGCCGCTCGATCTCCTTGTTCTTGTCCTGGATGGTCTTGGCGGCCTCCTCCAGGGACTGCTTGTGCCTGGCGTTGTCCTCCGAGCGCTGCTGGATGACCTGCTTCAGCTCCAGCTCCAGGTGCTGCTTCTTCTGCTGCATCTCCGAGCCGCTGGCCTTGTGCTGCTGGGCGGTCTCCTCGGCGCGCCGGCGCTGCTCGCTGGCCTGCACGATGCCGTCGTTGAGCCGCACGATCTCGTCCTTCAGGTCCCGGTTCTCCCGGGACAGCCGGTCCAGCTGATTCCGCAGGTTTTTGGAATCATCCTCTTTCTGCATGGATATCTCCTTGATGGTGGTCTTCGTTATGTTAATCTCTGTTTCGTACTTGTTCCTTAAATTACTCATCTCCTCATTATAGTGGTTCCTTACCTTTGCCAGCTCACTCTCATACTCTCTCTTCCGGGCGCCCTCCTCCTGCAGCAGGACCCTCAGCCTCTCTATCTCGTACTCCTTCTCCTTGATGGCTTTCTCAGACTCTAGCTTCTGCCAGCCGAGGCTCTCCTTCTCGCTCTGCCTGGCTTTCTGCAGCTGGTCGTAGTCGCTCTTCTGCTGGTCGAATCTGTCTTCCACGGTCTTCCTCCTCCTCTTCTCGTCCTCAATCTCGTACGTGAGCCGCGTGATCTTCTCGTTGAGCTCTTTGATTTGGGTGTAGCACTTGTCCAGGTTCTGCTTGGCCGACTTCCCGTCCAGCTCTGCCTGTCTCTTGAGCTCCTCCAGGCTCACGAGCTTCGCCTTGAACTGGGAGCACTCCGCCTGGTACTTCTGCAGGTTCTGATCCAGGAACTTGTTCTTGTTGCAATTTTCTGAGTTGGCATCTCGGGCCAGTCTGAGCTCCTCTTCCAAAACCTCAATCTTGGTATTTTTCAGCTGTGGAAGACAAAGCAGAAATTACATTGTATTCACATCATAAGATAGCAGCCGTTCTTTCCCTCCCAGGCACTCTGCATTCTCACCAACACACACACACACACACACACACACACACACACACACACACACACACGCACACACACGTGCACACATGCGTGCACACACGCACACACTCGTGTGCGCGCACGCCCTCTTAAAGTATGATCCAAGGGGAAACTACGAGACAAACATTCGAGAAGCTTGGATTCTTAATTTTCCCATCAGCTACTGGTTGGCATGATTTTAATCAATGATGCTTGTTTCCTTATCAGTTAAAATGATGTGATTTTATGCAAGATCAAAAGCGATGGTCTCCTAGATGATGTTCCATATAAACTCCAGGCCAGTATCAGAAATGAAAAGTGAACTGAACACGCACAATTCCAACCCAGTCTGCCCAGGAGGCACGTGTATCCAGAACTCCGACACCAAGGGTGAAGCAGTGAGCCACCCAAGCACGAACTGGAGTGACTGCTTCTTGACAAAGGCAGGTAAGTGCAATTTTGCAACTATCCCCAAAGTCTCTGTGGGCAGCACTGTGGAGCAACTGATCCCTGCCTTAGGAACACGCTGTCTACTCAATCCAAAATTTACAGGAAACACAGTTGGAACTGTATGTTTTGGTTATAAGTGGCAGTAATAATAACAGTCTCTCCTTGTGTGTTTCTTTGATGCGCCAAGGAAATAAAGTCAGGGGGTTACCTTCAGATCCTCTAAACTCTTCAGCATCTCGCTTAAGAATCTGTAATAGTCTCCAGATCTTGTAAGTAATTCTATGTACCGAGCGTGGATATCTGCAGCCTGGAAAAAACAAACAAACAAATAAATAAACTCAAGAAAAGTTATATTCAAGTTGACCAACTTTGTTTTCTAAAATAATGAAAATAGTGACGTAATGCCCTTTTTTGGTGAGGAATGTAATGGCCTTCTCTCTATCAGGCTAATTCCAAAACCTGGAATCACAACAAAACAAATGCAGAAGTGAAAGCAGCCCTTCCCCATAGCCCCAGCTAGCTTCCCTAAACCAGCCGGCAGGTGACAGGCTCTGCTGTCTTCGGGAAGTTGTCATTTTAGAACTCTGGTATGCACTGTCACTTTTTAGAGCTGTCCCCAACCCCATGCAAGAAATCTAAGTTCCATTTGGCAAAGACTCTAATCTCAAAATGGTATACTCAAGCCTTGCCCTGGTCATTTCCTCAGCAGTGTCACATGCCACAGCCGTAAGAGAGGGGGCATAAACCCAGCCTAGCTGAGGGGCGAGTGCAGACACTGCGGGGCGAGGGAAGCGAGGAAGGCAGACGGATGGCACACGCACCTCCTGCATGATCACCCCGGAAGGGGACTGCACCATTGATCTCTTGATGGGTATGTTCAGGAGAGTCTCCAGCCCCGAAGTGTACGACGCCAGCTGGAGTTCGTAATCCTGCAGGAGAACCGAGTTAAGACAGTCTAAGTGTGCTGGAAGGCCAACTGACATCTGTGATCCATCATTCTAAGTCATCACGCCGTGCTTTGAATAACCAGCCTCAGAAGCCGCATGACCCTCTGCTCACCTGACTAAAATTATGCAATGATGCATCTTTGCACTCTAAGAATTTTGCACATATCACTAAAGAATAAAGACTAACCCGTTCCCACAAATACCATCAACACACCGTGAAGTCAAGTTAGGGAATTGCCAACTTTGCTGGTTTGTTTTGGACAGAATAAACAGCCCCATGACCGTGCTCACGGAGTTCATCCCCGCGAAGGCAAACTGGCAAGCAGGCGCTGATGACGCTTCTGAGGGAGCCGCAGGTGAAACCAACTTACCTTAATCGAATTTGCACAAAGTTCAGCAACTTTTTGTACTTCCTCTGATTTGTCTCGTTTGCCAGATATTTCATTGTGCAAATTCTAAACAAAAAAGAATATATTTACAAACATTACAATACACAAATGTTTTAAAATTTTTTTGATTTTGTTTTTACTGTAAGAGTTTTCGGTTTGTTACTACTACTCATAGTTTTGGTCACAGCTTAGGAAAAGGAAGGAAAGTCTTCCATTCTATGTTATCTAGAAGGGCTTCTTGTCTAGTTGGCACTGCTCTTTGGTCCTCAATTTGCAAGGACACTTTGCAATAACACAAAAGCAACATCAGATTTATACATGATTTATATGTTCACAAGTGCATCTCTGCAAATATCTCAATGGCTTTTCCTCCAGGCATTCTTTAAACATTTATGACAAGGAGGGACAATATAAATTCATCGTTTCAGACTCAGTCGCTGCTGTGAAAACGGGGCCACGCAGTTTCTAGCGCACTAACTCCCACACAGCCGCGGAACGGCAGGTGCTACCTTCTGCTCATTCAAGAAGCGCATGACGGTGTTGGAATCCCCAAACTTCATGGATTCCAAGGAGTCCTGGCGGCGCTTGGCATCATAGAGCCACTTGCAGAATCCTTGGTAGTTATCGCGATAATTCCTCAGTTGCTTGATTTGTTTCTCCAGGTCCCATAATCTGGGGGAAGCAGATAGAACAAAATTACTGTTAGTATTTCCTAACATGCGTAATGCAGAGCTGCCCAGCACCACTACCTGGGACAAACCCAGGAGAGATGAAACCTCTGCCCTCTGCTGCTGAATCTGAATATAATAAAATCCACTGAATTTTACTTTAAATCAATAACTGTAAGACAGATGAGTTATAGCTCAATAGCAACGCTTTTCAGAAACACCCACGAAAGCTGGCAGCTTGATGGCACAGCAGGTTCAGCCACTGCCTGCGACACTGGCATCCTCTGAGCACTGGCATGAGTCCCGCCGCCTCCCTGCTAATGGCCTGGCAAAGCAGCACAAGGTGGCCCAAGTCCAGGGCTCGGGCGCCCAGGCGGGAGACCCGAGGAAGCTCCTGGCTGCTGGCTCCAGCCTTCCTGGCCCAGGAACAGTGGCTACTGAGTGGATGAGGCCACTGATGGAAGGTCTCTCACTCGTCTCTTCCTTCCTCTCTCTTTCACATAAATTAAAACCAAAACCAAATATTGCTTAAACAAAAACGCTGCCAGTGAAACAGACTACAAGAAAGGCCATTTGGGAAGTACGTGAGGCTTTTATCTGCAGTCATAAAAGTTTGGGAAAAGTTCACTCTCGGTAGCTGTACCAGCTGACATCATAACAAGAGCTCTCAGGGAACCAGACGAGCCTGTTAAACGCCCCCCGTATTTCTACAAGAACCTGGAAGACTATCACAGTAAGTCCTCTTTCGTTTAGAAGAAGCAAGTCCATGAGAAGAGGCAGCCGTGGGGGCAGCCGATGCGGGGGCCTGAGACACCCTGCCCACTTGTCCCCCGCGGCCGAGGCTGGGCCCGCGCACCTGTAGTCGATCTGCTTGTCGATTCTCTGCCAGCGGTCGGTCAGCTGCGTGACTTTCTCACTGAGCTTGCCCAGGTCCAGGTCATACAGCGGGTACTGCTGTGAGGTCTGAGAGTGGATCTGCTGAGCTTTCTGCAGCTCTGTCTTCATGGTGGCCAACAGGGACTTCTTCAAGTTCAAGTCGTTCTTTATTTTCTGCGAGAGTAGGAAGAAAAAAAGGGCTTTCAACCCTATTTGTATTTTTCAGTGATAACAATCAATCCAAGAAAATAAATCTGCTGAATTGTGTTTTCCAGTATTTCTTCTACTAAACTAGTTCCCTTTTAAAACAGACGAAAGATTCAACATGCAAGCTCCTTGGAGAAACGCTGCAGCGCCTATGGCATGCCCGCAGCCATGTGACATCTGTGACGACGGTCCCAGTGCAGGGGTCTGCGGAGGCCGGAGCCCGGTTTCACTCAGTACTCCCCAAGCAAACACCAGCACAGACCACTTGCCCAAATATGTGGTGACTTCAAAGAGTTTATGGAAAATGGTATTAACAGATCTTTTTAAATGCAAAATTTTTTTTTGAGACTCTTGCATTTTTTCCATAAAAACACACTGTTCATGTGCTTTTTGAAGGCCCTTTATATGAATGGATTTACAAATTTTTTGCTTTGGGACCTGGCGCAGTAGTCTAGCAGTTTTAAGTTCTTGCCTTGCATGCAGCCAGGATCCCATATGGGTGCTGGTTCTAATCCCGGCAGCTCCACTTCCCATCCAGCTCCCTAGTTATGGCCTGGGAAAGCAGTTGAAGATGGCCCAAAGCCTTGGGACCCTGCATCCATGTGGGAGACCCAGAAGAGGCTTCTGGCTCCTGGCTTTGGATCAGCTCAGCACCAGCTGTTGTGACCGCTTTGAGAGTGAATCAATGGACAGAAGATCTTTCTCTCTGTCTCTCCTCCTCTCTGTATATTTGACTTTCTAATGAAAAGTAAAATAAATCTTAAAAAATATTTTTTTTCTCTGAAATAAACTTAAGAGATAAGTTTATTTAATAGAGGTTTATTTAATTCTATTTTCTCTAAACTTTGTGAGGTCACCTCACAGTTCCTCTAACTGGGACAAATGGTACCAAGCATAAATGGCCAATGAAACTGAGAAACCCTGCAAACATAGATACCCGGTGAGCTCTAACAACTGGGAAGGGGGTTCTTGTGCTGTTTCTTGTAACTGTCCCCTGCCACAGGCTCAGGGTGGAGAGGCAGCATGCTCATCTGCTTAACCCAGCCTCACATGACAGGCCAAGGCTGGAAGGCAAAACTCTAACTGCATGAGTCGTCCCCTGCTGCCTCCCGGGGCTGCGTGAGCAAGAAACTGCATGCAGCAGCTGCAGCTGGGCATCACACTCCAGGGCTCTGCTGTGGGCATCCCACCATGGACAAAGAGCCCGCTACTGTGGGCATCCCACCATGGAGAAAGAGCCCTCTGCTGCAGACATCCCACCATGGACAAAGAGCCCGCTACTGTGGGCATCCCACCATGGACAAAGAGCCCGCTACTGTGGGCATCCACCATGAACAAAGAGCCCTCTGCTACGGGCATCCCACCATGTACCAAAGCCCTCTGCTGCGGGCATCCCACCATGGACAAAGAGCCCTCTACTGCGGGCATCCCCACCATGGACCAAAGCCCTCTGCTGCAGGCATCCCACCGTGGACCAAGAGCCCACCCCAGAGAGAAGCTGCCCTGCTACCTTCAGTCCACAGCGGTAAGCTTCCACTTTGTCAAGATCCAGGCACACCGTCTCTTCTTCAGTGAGTCTGGCTTCGTAAACCTTCAACATGTCTTCAGTTTGCAGGATGGCCTGGAGCAGGGCTCGCACCGCGCACAAGCTGGGACGAGCAGGAAAAACGCCAATGACAATCAGACTGGGAACATCCTGTTCTCATCACTATTAATGCAGCAGAGGTGGTCCAGCAGATGAGATTTTATTTTGCCTGTGTTACAAGCTGCAGGAGCAGTAGACTGTTCTTGTACCATGATTCTGACTATGACACATTCACAAGGGAATTCAGAGATATGGGCCTCGGGACCATCAAAAGAGCTCAACTGGCTAATCCTCTGCCTTCAAGCGCCCAGCCTATGGACCCGATTGGCAGCCTGGCTATTCCACTTGCCATGCAACTTCCTGCTGGTGGCCTGGGAAAGCAGCAAGGGATGGCCTAAAGCCTTGGGACCCCGCACCCATATGAGAGACCCAGAAGAAGCTCCTGGCTCAGCAATGGCCACTTGCAGCCACTTTGGGGCATGAACCAGTGAATGGAAGATCTTTGTCTCTCCTCTCTGAAAAATCTGCCTTTCCAGTAAAAATAAATAAAATTTTTATAAAAGAAGATATGGCTCTAAAAGTAAACCTTACTTCTAAGACATGTTAGATTTCAACAGAATGAACCCAAGATGATAGAATATTCTCTAAACCTGAAAGCTCTCTGCCCCGCCCCCCCCCAGAGCAGAGACCCCAGGCCCCCACACAGAGCAGAGACCCCGGCCCCCCCACACAGAGCAGAGCCCCCAGGCCCCGCAACACAGAGCAGAGTCCCCGGCCCCCCCACACAGAGCAGAGCCCCCAGGTCCCCCCCCACAGAGCAGATCCCCCAATCCCCCCCACACAGAACAGAGCCCTCAGGCACCCCAATCCCCCCACACACAGAGCAGACAAAGCCGGAGCAAAGCAGAACAGCTGAGGGTGGGATCCGCTGAGCCAACCTGTTTAAATAGCCATCTGTAACACCATTGATATTCTCCAGCTTCTGGAACAATCCAAACACTTCATTCTGAAGATAGCAGTACTTCTCGGAACCTCGGAAGTTGGCAAGCAGGTCTTTGAGCTGGTTGAGAACTTCAGCAATTGCTTGTGAATCATTCTGCACGCTCTGTTAAGGACACAGGTACGGATGTTTTAATTTTCTAGTGTATAATTTTCAGATGCACGATTCACCGCTTTGCCATATGGGGCAAAATGTGCTACAGGTGAGCAAGTGACCGTGTGTGGCACCTTCCACAGTTGCCCTGCTTGGACATGGCAAAAGCACCTAAAATAGATCCTCAGCCAACTACAAACATATGCATCATGATAACACACAGTCCTCCTGCTGCACATTACACTGGAACCTTTAGGCCTGGTCACCCCACATAACTGACCTCCCGTACCCCGCCCCCAGCCCACCATCTCCGACTGTCTCAAGATCCCACATGCACGTGAGAGCACCCGCTCTCCGCCCTCGGTGTTAGACACACTGTCCTCTAGGAGCAGCCATGTTGCGGCCCATGGTGGAGCCTCCTTCAAGGCCACATGACACTCCACTGTGTGTGCGTGTGTTTACCCTACTCCTCTGGCCTGCCACGGTCATGCTCACATACCAGCTGTGTGAGTCTTCTGCCTTTGAAAAGTCCAGGATTCAACAAACAGAGGCACGAGAGACCCAATGTTTCTTATCTAATAATGGCCTTCTTACTTCAATGCTCTCACTTGCGACATGCCAATACAGCAAACCAGGCCTGGCTGGGACACACCTGGATCATGGTCGAAGCTGTCTACACCTCTGAGATCATGTCAGTTCCCTTCCTAGGAATGAAGACAACCCCATCTATCCACAGGGTGTTAGGTAGAAGCCAAACCGACATTTACGAAAGCTTCTGAACTAGACCAACAGGAGAAATGGCTGGAAAGCAGTTCGCTTTGGGACCAGCATACTGGAGCAGTAGGTTAATTCTCTGTCTCAAGGGCTGGGATCCCATATGGGTGCCGGTTCATGCCCCGGCCACTCCACTTCTGATCCAGTCCTTTGCTTATTGTCTAGGAAAGCAGCGGGAGATGGCCCAAAGCCTTGGGACTCTGCACCCGCATGGGAGACCCAGAAAGAAGCTCCTGGTTTCAGATCAGCTCAGCTCCAGTCACTGTAGCCATTTGGAGAGTGAACCAGTGGATAGAAGATTATTCTCTGTCTCTCTGTGTAAATTCTGCCTTTCAATAAAAATACATAAATCTTTTTAAAAATTTAAAAACAGAAATTGCTATTTCTTGCCTACAGACATTGAAACGATTTCCTGCTTGGTTCACACACGGACCAGGCAAAGCACGAAGCTACACCTGCCTTGAGCTCGTTGATTTTCACTGTGATGTGGTGGGAGGAGCCTTGGTCAGTCAGAAGGAGGTTCTTCAGGCTCATCCTGCCCTCACAGTGCTCCATCTGCCGCCGAATCTTCTGCAGCTCCATCAGCAGCCACGTTTCCTGCTTGTCATTTTCTCTGTTGGTTTCAATTACCTTATTATGGTTCACGTCTTGGCAGGAACCAACATGGGTGATCTCGGTTGTGGTAACTGGAAACAAAAAGTCGAGACCACAAAAATTAGAACTCTTGGTGTAAGGAGGCTAGACCTCAAAAATTAACCACATTGTATAAAAATATACCAACACTTCTGACTTTCTGATGAAAATCTAATATTCCTACAACTCGATGTGGTTTGTCCCCAAAGTTTCTGGGCTAAGGGCTTGGGTGTTAGAGGCGAGCAGGTGCAGCTCTCAGGGACATGACTGGATCAGGGGCCAGCATCCCCAGAGAGGATGGGAGCCCTGGGTCTCTCAACAAGGGGTTGTCATCAGGCGAGGCCTGGCCCCTCTGCACGTGGTCATTTCTTCTCAGTGTCTCTGCCCGTTTTCCTGCAGGCACTGGGAGGCCCTAACCACGTCCCAGCCTCCAGACTCCATCAAGAGTTCAACAAAGTCCCACTTGACGAAGTGCCCAGTTTTAGGGATTTTGTCATCATAACATGAAATTAGACTACAATAACACCTTTCAGTGAAATGAAAGGTCCCAAGGTAAAGTTTTATAGAAAGCAGTTTTCTTTGCTAAGCGCCCACGCGGGCTTGCCCCAGCTGACCTGTCTGATGCTGCGGGTGGCCGGGCAGCTGGATGACCAGCGTCTGGTAGTGTTTCTGGGCGTCGGTGAACTGGGACTGTATCTTGCGCTTGTCATCGTCACCGAACATCTCTGAGCCCTGGCTGTTGCGGATGAACTCTTGGTAATGCAACTCCAGGTCGGAGATGGTCTTCATGTAGTCTTCCTGCCTCATGGTCTTCAGCTGGAAGAAGAGCAGGTATGGCTTAGGACACCTGCTTATCTCTACAATGCCTCCAAGAGGCTGAAAAATACCCCCCACGGTCCATTAAGACACAAAGAGCTTGTCCTCAATGGATCCTAATTGTTTCCCGTGGCATTTCTCCTTCAAATGAAACACACTCCGGAAAGGCCCAAATGTAAAAAAAGGGGCACAGCAAAGCTGCTCTGGTTGAAACGAGAAAAGGGGTCCGGGGCCCCCTAAACACAGCTATTCTGCGCTCCTCTCCTGACAATCCTGTCGCCCTACAGATTCCATACCTGGCAATCTGCAGGCCACAGCTGGAAAGTCACTCGCTTAGAGCAGCCAACGAACACTCTGGGTTCTTCCCAGAGTGTGATCCCACCTTCCCTGTGACACAGTGAATGCCTCATGACCAACTCCTTTACTACGACTAAGAAGAATCGCCACCAGCCAGTGCTAGCCCCTGCTGCTCTCTGCCGGATGGACCCAGACTTCTCAGCGAGACAGGGCCGACTCCTGCACTCAGGGTTAGGGTGAGGGTTGGGTTTAGGGTTTAGGGTTAGGGCTTAGGGGTTAGTGCCCACAGCCTCTCGTTGCAGGCAGCCCACGTGGAGCCGAGCACACACCTTGGCAATGGTCATGGCCCTGATTTTCTCAATGTCGATCATGCAGTAGTGCCAGGACACCAGGCTCTTCATGTTGATGTACAGCTGGTTCCACAGGGCCAAGATAGCTTCATAGTACTGCTCAATCCTACGAAGCAAGCGGAAGCCGGTTACAGCCACACTGCCGCACCAGCAGGAAGCCGGGCCAGGCTCGCCCACTGGGTTATACAGCCACAATCACCGCTGGCAACGCAGCAGGACGAGCTCTGACTTTCTAAGCTGTCAATGCTCCAATGATGGGAGCTAAGCTGCTCCCTGGAAGGCCATGTCCTCCGTCACTGGGATCACTCCAGCTGAAACAGTTCTGTGGTGGCCCTGCTGGGCTGACTCTCCGCGATTCTGGCTAAGTCTCTCAGAGGAGGCTGCCTGCCACTGCTTGGCCCTAAGTCCGTGCCAGTTCACAGGACCGTCCTCCATACTCTGCTTGGGGCTGAGCAAACTTGGGCAAGGAGTTCTCACGGTCATACTAAAAGCATTATAAATCCATGGCTCCACATGAAAGGACCCACTTCCCAGGACTTGGAAATCACATACTTCCAACAAAGTAAGCTACACTTTGGTGCCAAAAACTGCAGAAAAATTTTGTGAAATCTTTTCAGAGTTTTTTTATAACATGCCTTCCACGGACTTCTTGAAGGTCCCATGTGGGTGTGGCCTTCACACTTCTTTTTGGTAGCAAAATAAACTTATCTTTTTAATTCCGTGTTTCACCGTCTGTTTGAAATGTCCCTGTATTATTGTTTTAATACATTTTAATTACTTGTTTACGTTTATATACTTGAAAGGCAAAGAGACAGCCTGCACCACACAAGGCTGGGGCCACAGCCAAGGGTCAGAAATCCACTGGGGTCTCCCCTGTGCATGACAAGGCTTCAAACGCCTGGGCCAGCAGCGGCTGCCCCCAGAGCAGCAAGCTGGACAGAAGCTGGGCCACACACGCACCTGAGCCCTCCGATGTACAGGCAGGTGTCCCAAGACGTGTCCAAATGCCACCCGCCCCGACTAGAACCAGTACCTTCCTGCGATGGCACACACACAGGGTTTCTTGTCAGCAGGCCATTCTAGTAAGGAACTGCTTTTTACATAAATAAATGTCTTACTTATTAACATAATTCATGTATTTGAAAGGCAGATAGTGTCAGATCTCCCATCTGCTGACTCACTCCCTAAATGACCATGACGGATGGCCTGGACCAGGGCCGAAGCCAGGAACCAGAAACAAAGTCTAGGTCTCGCCCTTGTGCCTCCCCAAGCGTCACTGTTAGCAGGAAGCTGCCATCGGGCAGAGCTGGGAACTGAACCTCTGATGTCCACCCCCGGAGCCATCTAAGTTCCCTGCCCAGGCACTGGCTGCCTTTTGGCTGACTTGCACATCTTACTTGGAGGAGAGCTCCACGGCCAGGGGGTTCGGCGGCGGGATGATGAGGCTGACCGAGGGCACGAGCATGTCCACGCCCCCCGGGCCGGTGACGTACCACTTGCTGCGCTCGTTGTTGTCCTTGAGGATACACTCGTCCCCTTTGTGCACGATTTTCTGAAAGGCAAGCGGCCCTGCCTTCAGCTTTGCTCAGAAGCACACAGCCTTGGTTTTTGTTTTTTCCCAAAGGAAGCATCACGAAAAATGAGCAAAGCAGTGGAGCTTTCAGCTGACTGTCCGCCTCCCCGGCGAAGCTGATCGCTTCGCAATCCGGCCATACCTACAGCTTAATAATGAGTGTGGGTCTGAAACGTGTGAAAGAAGGAAGGACTGTGCAAACACAGCCCGAGGGAGCCCACCGTTCCTTCCAGAAAGCAAGCCTGCTCCCTTCCTGGCTCTGTTTCCAGGAGCTCGTGTTTTATGTATTAGCTCCTAGCGTGGTGGTTCACTTGTGTCACTCGTTTGCTCTTAAATTAAAAAAAAAAAAACAAAACATCAAAACAAAAGCATTCTGATCTGTCTCCAGAAAAGCAGCTTTTTCAAAATTATCTCCAGCTTAGAGATCTCAAAGTGGCAGCTTAACACGAGAACCATTGTCTGGACTAACAGAGTGGGACAAGCCTGATTGTCAAGAATGCCCACCTCCCATTTCAACTCACTGTCTCTTACTGCACAAGCTCTGAAAAATATTTCTGCCTGGCTAAACAGACTCCAGTGTTTTAGAAGTTAATCTTCATTGCCCTGAAAGTTTATCTTCCCAACAGGTCACAGTTCATGTGTCTAAGTCCTCCATAATTTTATAAGGAAATAGCTGTGGGAGCCAGATGAGCCCCGCAGACCAGGATCTTTCTAAACGCTATGTTTCACAGAGGCCAGAACTGCTGGCTCAGTCAGCATCGCTTCTGAGGCAGCATAGCCACATCCTCTCTCATCTCTTAGGTTAGGCGGGACCACGGGCCCGTCGGAAGGAGTGAGCTTTCAGAAGAATTTGAGCTTTGAGAGCAACTGTGGTCCTGCCTGGCTCAGAGCGGTCTGCTGCTTTACACAGACGCCGTGCTTAGTGAGGCTGGGTCACACCTGGTTCTCTCAAGTCACAAGACTCTGTCCATGAGCGGTGGGCAGTGTGCAATCCTCTGGCCACAAAAGACCCTTGGACCGCTGGACTCAACATTTAAAACCATTTATATGCTGCAGGCTAATTTTTAAGTCCATGAACTTGTATGGCCAGTGAAGGGTGCTACAAATAGCCAGATGGTCCCTGGCAGGAGAGAGGGCCCCCGCCTCTGCCCAGGCAATCCCAGGTGATTCCAGGCACAGGGCGGCGGCCGGGCATACCTGGTCCTGCTTGTAGTCGCAGAGCGCCCTCAGGATGATGGGCTTGCTGCTCCTGTAGTCTGGGTTCCGCGGCTTCAGCTGCACAATCTTCTTGGACTTGTTCACCAGGTTCTGCACCTGGCGTTTGTATTCCAGGATTTTCTCTCGCTCTTTCTGCAATTGCAAAGAAAATCGTACGTTAATGTCACCTGATACAGACCACAACAGAGACACCCAGGGGCATTGAGAGATCTTCAAATGAACGGAACTGCCACGACGTTGTGAGCTCAACAGCACTGGAATTGCATCAGCAGGAAATGTGAGAAGCTGTCCTGCCAGGCCTCCCTGCGTGCTTGGCAGCCACGGATGCAGGGGACAGGAAAGCCTTGTGTGAAAGGCCTAAGTGACAGAACCCGAAGCACGCTTTCCCAATGGAACATCAGGGCTCTGCATTTATGCTCTGAGCAGATCACCCACATGCTGAAGCGCAAAGAAGTTCCCTGCGGGGGCCGAGCACAGGAAGCACACTTTGAGAGACCCCTGTGAAGTTGCGCAGGGGGGACAGGGCAAGTGTGTGCGCTCCGCACATCAGAGCAGCTCAGCAGCGCGAGCTGCACCGGGGAGCAGCACCCTACCTCGAGCTCTTTGATCTGCTCCAGCAGGTGTTGCAGGGGCATGTTCTTGTCACAGGGGTACTTCTTCCTGATGGAGTCCTGGAGGCCCTTCAGGTAGGCTTCAGTGGACTGTGCCTCTTCAAAAAACTGTGGGAGAAGAGCAGGATGCCCAGGTCACAGTGAGCAAAGCAACAACTCCAGACACAGCAGCAAGTCCTAAGCAGCACCCTCCACTCGCTCCGTGTCAGGGACCGCCATCCCTGAGCTGTTCAGCAGGTGGCTAAAGGAGCTGAGAGCAGAACGTATCTACACAGTGGCCTCGGGAGACCAAGCGTGATGGGTGGCCAGTCTAAAATCGAAGCCCCTCGAAGCGAAAAGCAGCAATACAGGACGCGTGCAATAGTTCCTTTTTAGAGTTTTTAGAAACCCAGTCGAGAGCTAAGACAAACCTGGAAGTAGGCGGCGTTCTCCTTGAGGTGCACGTCGATGCACTTGGTGATCTGCAGAATCCAGCTCCACTGCGTCTGCAGGGTGTCCATGTACGCCTGAAACGGGGAGACGGCGCCTTAGCCTCGCAGGCGCCCAGCAAGCCCCGGCTCCCACGCCGACGCAAGCAAGGCTTGGTTTCCGGAAACTGACAACAGAACTTGCCACCAAGAACTCTTGGCATGGTGGAAATCTTGAAATCAGCTTTCAGAAACAGATGGAGTGTTGCTGCAGAGCAGGCCCCGGGCACCACGCCTGGGCAGGATCGTGCTGCCACAGCCTGGGCTGCTGCTGGACAGCTTTGAGATCACAGCGCGCCCCCTTAGCAGGGAGTCCCGTGGCATGCACAGCCGGGAGTCGCTCCAAGTCAAGGACCATGGCCACGTCAGTGCCAGCAGCTCAAGTCAGCTGGACACGACCCACAAGTGACCGCCTCAGACAGAGGCTTCTGCGTGGCCGCAGGCCATCTACGCCCTGCAAGATCACCGGGTCTGGCCCTGCCTGCCAAGGGAAGTGCAGGCGGAACCTGGGATTCAGTCAGTTTTTAAGCTGGTGATTGTTTCCGGCCCATGAATGATGCTGCAAATATCCAAGCAGTCCTGGGTGAAAGACCCATCCGTCCCTGCTCACCTAGGCAGCCATGCCGTACGGAAGGGCCCTTTCCCGAGGAAAAAGTTAACTCTCATGACGCCTACCTCGATTTTGTCAGAAGCCGGATGCTGATTGAGGACAAGCTGGTCACTTTCTTGTTTGAGTTTATTCAGTTCTTTTTCCTTGACTTCCAGTTGACTCATGCGTATCTGGGAATGAAAGAGGAGGAGGTTAACGCTTTCTAGCAGGTCCCTCCTGGTCCTGCAGCCTGCCTGCAGCAGCTGGGGCAAGGCGTGCATGAACCCATGGGGGTTGGTGCCGTGTCTTCCGCTCGTAAGGCCAAGAGGCACGCGGCTGGGACCGGACCAGTGGCACGGCTTGGCCCAGACCGCGACAGCGCAGTCCCATCCTGAGCACTGATTCCTAACTCCACATTTCAATCCGGCATGCGGCAGGGCCACAGAAATGCCCGCTGAGCTTGTCAGAAGGAACCGACCCTCATCTCGCCTAACCCCTTCCATCTGCCGGGATATCGCTCAGGTCAAGCTGAGAAAGGCCCCGAGAGAGGAGGGCTTGCACCTCGGCCGCTCGGCGTGGCGAGCGACACCGAGCACCGCGCTCACCGAGAAGGCCTCCTGCTTCTGAGCGATGTTGGTGTTCTTGTCGCTCCAGTCGTACAGCAGCTCCTCCTCCTCGCAGTCGTTGATCCACATGATCTCGCGGGAGGTGGCCTGGATGATGTTCTGCAGCTGCCGCAGGTGGTCCATCCTCTCGAAGGATGCTTTCTGCACAGCCAAGCCAAAGGCAGCGTTAGAACGGCGACCCCAGAGCCCGGAGCCCTCCCAGACGCGCCCCGTGCGAGCCCTTCTTCCAGAACAATCACAGGGCAGGAAACCTGAGTGCTTGGGTGGGACAAAGACTCATTCAACTTGGTAGGAGCCGAAAAGCAACTTCAGAATCAACTCCGAAGGGTCTTGATTCAAACATACTCAATTATAAGGTTTAGACCATATGGGGAAAATGGGATCTTCAATAAATAAATTAAACTTCTCCTACCATCTCCTTCACCTCTCCATGCACACATCAGGAAAAAACAAATTTTCCAGATGCCGTTGGTCCCCTCTCGGCCATGTTCGGCCATAAAAGGGAAAGGCCGTGGCAGCGCTAGCCAGGGCACTTGGCGGACGAGTACTGCCAATGAGGAAGCAGTGACGAAGTGAGGGCAAAGGTGGCACAGCCAGGCATGAGTCAGGCACCCCACGATGAGACGGCCGCAGTGTGAACCAGGGGCCATACACACCATGGTGGGCCCTTAACATTCCACTGCCAGTGATTTCCAGTGAGCTGCCAGCTGCGCCCGTCGACCCAGTCCTCAGCCACCTGCCTGTCATGAAGCACCACGCGACTGCTCCTCTTCCAGGAGCCAAGTGACCGAGAGCCTGCACAGGACACCGATGACCTCACCAGCACACTGGTCTCGGGAAAACCAGGGGCTTTTGTGTGTCTGATGCTTCCTCAAAACAATGTAATTCAGACTGCACGGCTTTAACTGCCAAGTGCCCTTGCCATGACATTTACCGAGAAAACAAGGGCTGGGCGCTACCTTAAAATAAACCTAAACCTGGCCTGGAAACACAATAGCTGCAGCCACCAGATGAGCGCCTAAGAGTAAGGGAGGAGCACCCAGCCCAGGGACCCGGCAAGCACCCAGCCCAGGGACCCAGCTCAGCACCCAGCCCAGGGACCAGGCTCAGCACCCAGCCTGAGGACCAGGTTCAGCACCGGGCCCAGGGACCAGGCGCAGCACCCAGCCCAGGGACCCAGCAAGCACCCGGCCCAGGGACCCAGCTCAGCACCCAGCCCAGGGACCAGGCTCAGCACCCGGCCCAGGGACCCAGCAAGCACTCAGCCCAGGGACCAGGCTCAGCACCCGGCCCAGTGAACCCACAGACCAGGGACCAGGCTCGGCACCCAGCCCAGGGACCCAGCTCAGCACCCAGCCCAGGGACCCAGCAAGCACCCGGCCCAGGGATCAGGCTCAGCACTCTGGCAGGGACCAGGTTCAGCACCCGGCCCAGGGACCCAGCTCAGCACCCGGCCTGAGGACCAGGCTCAGCACCCGGCCCAGGGACCAGGCTCAGCACCCTGGCAGGAACCAGGCGCAGCACCCGGCCCAGGGACCCCGCAGGCCAGGGACCAGGCGCAGCACCCGACCCAGGGACCCCGCAGGCCAGGGCTGATAGAGGCTCACCAGCAGGTTCTCATACTCCTCCTCCAGCTGGTAGATGGCAGACTTCTCACGCTGCAATAGAACAACAACAAAAAGTGTTAGCCTCTTGTGGCTTTGTGGCCCAGAAGCAGCCCTGCTAAGCCCTTCTCGGTCAGCTGCTGGCCCTCTGGGCTTCAGCACAACCAAGTGCTAGCTCGGATGCCTGCGAGTGTCACAACTGGCCCAGAGTCACTGACACCTAACGGCTCACTGGGGACAACTGGTTTTTTGTTTGTTTGTTTGTTTTAACCAGTTTCAAAATGAGGGTAGGTAGCTACCCTCTCACAGCCAAAGCCCTCCGGCAGGGAACCAGTACTAAAGTGAGACAAATATGGGGGCCCAGCGCAGTCTGGCCTAGCGATTAAAGTCCTCACCTTGCATGTGCCAGGATCGCATATGGGTGCCAGTTCTAACTCTGGTAGTCCCGCTTCCCATCCAGCTCCCTGCTTGTGGCCTGGGAAAGCAGTTGAGGACGGCTCAAGGCCTTGGGACCCTGCAACCCATGTGGGAGACCCAGAAGAGACTCCAGGCTCCTGGCTTTGGATCGGCCCAGCTCCAGCCATTGCAGCCAATCAACGGAAGGTCTTTCTCTCTGTCTCTCCTCCTCTCTGAATATCTGACTTTCCAATAAAAATAAGTAAATCTAAAAAAAAAAAAAAAAGAAGAAAGTGCATGGAAAGTAGAACTGAAAGGGCCATTTATTTTCAGTGCCAAAAAGTGTTGAAATCCATATAAATTATATAGAGGGTCTTCAAAAGCCCATGGGGGAATGCAGACTACACAGGCAGTTATGGAAATTTTCGTTCCGACATTAATGGTCCTTCCACTTTCCCACGAGCCACCGTTGGACTCCACACTGCCCCTCCAAGTGTGACTGCTGCTTGTTCTTGGTTTTGTTTTCATTTTGCCAAGCACAGGAGAAGCGGCAGGCTGAGCCAGGAATTCGCTCCATAGAAAGTGTGTCTTAGATAAAAACGGTATCACGGTCCCGTGGTTTTTCCTCATGGAAGAAATGCCGAGCCACCAGCGCTGCCCGAGTGCCCGCCTCCCCTCGGCCATTCGTTTGGCTCCTGCTCGGGGCAATGTCACAGGGGCCTCCATTCTGCTCCCCATCTTCAGAATGGATTTTTACAAAGCTTCCAGTCTCAGCAAGGAACCAGGAACCTAAACGTGTGCACCCAGCTCCCTGGCAGAGCAACCACGCCACCGCCCGGTGACCGGGAGAACCCAGCAAGGGAACGGGCAGGTACCAGGTCGGCCTTGATCTTGTCCAGCTGCCAGCGGTAGTCCCCGATGGCGTTGTGGATGCTCCTGTGGCTGTTGATGTGCTGCTCCACCGAGGCCAGATCCACACCCCAGGCCATCATGTCCATCTCCGCCTGCCAGGGGAGAGGGGAGACAGGTGGCCTTAGTTCTGACTCACTTCCTTCCCCGTCCTGGGTCAGAGTCCAGGTGATACACACACACACACACACACACACACACACACACCCCCCACTGGGCTCCAGGACAAAGGCAGGACAGAAGCGGAAAGCGTTTTGGAAGCCGACGTGTTTCTCCAGAGGCTCCCGGACAGCTGGTGGGGCTTGCCAAGTCCTTCCCTTGGTTTGTTGATCAAGGACCTTTGGAAGGGAGATCCTTGCATCCAGGACGAGGACACCAAAGACAAGGAATTCTAAACGTACACACACCAGCACACATGTGGAAGGCTATTACAATGTGTGCACATATATTAATAACATTATAAAATATTGTTCATTCTCACTCTAAAATGCTCATCTAAATCACCAAGCACTGCTTCCCAAACCTGGATAAACTGATTTCGTTTGAGTCTCAAATTTGACAATGTCACATGGCAAGAAGCCACAAGTTTCACACCAGAGCAAGCCCGTGCCCTCATCCTTCTTGGCACAAGGACACGCAGAATTCCAGATCACCTATGTCATCTCTCGGCCATGCCGACAGTAAACACCCCGGTCTAGGATGGCAGCAGAAACAAACACACATTGTTCCGAGCCACGATCTCACATGCTTGGCAGGGCTTCAGGAAGGGGAGCCATGTCAGAGTCGGACAGAGGTTACCCGGGACTTTGGCCCTGCTCTCCTGCAACTGTTTGGGCTTTAGAAACAAAGCTGCCGGCTGCACACACCAGGAAGTTCATGAGACGGCCAGGCTGCGGCTCGCACAGTTCATTACCGACCAGGTGTGTGCTATCTGACCCAACCATCAGCAGCAGCACAAACCAAGGAAACCAAACCTAGCCTGGCACAGGACGAGGTGTGTCTGTGCCCTGGCCGCCTGCTGGCGGACCGCCTCTCTATCAGCCAGGTCCCAGCGCGGGCTCTCCCGGGAGAGAGAGCAATGCGGGCTAGGCTTGGGGGAGCAGAGAAGGGAGACCAAGGGCCACGGGGGACGCCAGAGCCACCAGCGGTGGGTGAGGCACGCATCTGGCACGGCTGGCTGCCTGCCAGGCCCCCAGAGCTCCATGACAGCCTGGTACAAAATGACAGGCAACCAAGCCCGTGGGAGATGCCGCCTTCTGAAACTTCAGACTGGTGAGTCTTTGCTAGAGCGTGTTCCCACAGAGCTACACCTCCTGTGAACCCAGGATGCCACACTGCGGGCATTCCTTTACAGCACTGACATGCCAAGAAGCAATTAGCAGAGACATGTCCTCTAACAGCTCCAAGGCCCCCCTTGGAGGATCCCTAAAATCCAAGGCCGCCTGTAATTCCCACTCGGTGTGGGCTGGGACACCCGCCTCCCCCACTGCTAAGCAAGCGAGACTTCGTCACGGCCTCATGTGGCCATCAGTCACGCATGGGTCTGCATGGCACCCTGGGCATCGGGACGTATGTGTCTAATTTTCTTCCATAATATTCACTGTCAGGACTGCCCGCTGAAGCCTCCATTCCTGCCACAGCACAGATGTGCACAGACTCTGCAGGCACTTGTGGCAAGGGTCCGAGGGAATGGGAGCACGCGCAAATGTCTGCTTTTAGGGCTCCGAGAGGTCTTCACCGATTCCTGTTCTGGGAAAACCTTGCCACTTGGAACACCTCAAAGTCTGTATAAATCAGAGAAAAAGCTAAGAGGGAATGAGTGGCTGGATATATATCCTCCAAAGTGCTCAGTACTTAGGGGAGAACACATGAGAGAGGTCGAACCCGGCTGGCCGGCAATGCACACACGGCTACCGGCCTCAGCACCACTGGCCTGCACCGTGGTCGCCACAGCTGGCCTGCACCGTGGTCGCCATAGCTGGCCTGCACCGTGGTCGCCGCAGCTGGCCTGCACCGTGGTTGCCTCAGCTGGCCTGCACAGTGGTCACTGTAGCTGGCCTGCACCGTGGTCGCCGCAGCTGGCCTGCACCGTGGTCGCCGTAGCTGGCCTGCACCGTGGTCGCCATAGCTGGCCTGCACCGTGGCCGCAGCAGCTGGCCTGCACCGTGGACCACTCTCACAGCCACTCCTGAGGAGCGGCTCCATTAGCAGTAGGCTTTCATTACAGAGTTCCCAGGTGCCTGATGATGGCATGGTTCTCTCACCACCTGTTCATTACAGGGCATAATTACTATGTGAAACCACAGGATAATTAGCATTGAAAATGCTCCTGTAGAAACTCGAGTTCCAGAGAGAATGTCAGCACCTTCCCTCCCACACTGGTGACACGATGGCTGCCCAAGGAGAGGACAGACACTTCAAAAACCTCAGGTGAGCCACCAGCCACGGAGCCCAAGCCAGGACATCCAGTTCCACCGTGCTGCCAGCGCCCCCCGTAGATAGCATTTTAAACAAACCAACACAATGTGGGGCTTTTTGTTTTCCAAAATGCTTATCAGTATCAGTAATGTGGAAATACGGATAGGTACTTTTATAGTCTGAGGACACTCTGCGGCTCCGTAATACAGACGAGCGCTAGAACTTCATTCGTCAATGAAGTTCTTGGTCACAAAGCGCCGTAGCAGGCATGTGGTAGTTTATAAGATAAATATGCAAACTCCACTTCAATGATACCTGCCAAACATCACCTATGTGACAAAGCTATGGGCTGATTCCCTAAATGACACAGGGAAAAAAAGTTGCCTGAAATATTTATTCCAAAATAGAAGTCCACTTTCAAATTATATAAGAGCGGACCCATACTGGAGCAGCGGTTAGAGTCCCGGCTGCTCATTTCCAATCCAGCTCCATGTTAATAACCCCGGGGAAGGCAGGGGAAGATGGCCCACATGGGTGCTCAGGCCCCGTCACCCATGTGGGAGGTCTGGATGGAGTTCCAGGCTGCTGGCCTTGGCCTAGTCCAGCCCCAACTGTCACAGCCATTTGGGAGAGCAAAGCAAAGGATGGCAGTCCTTCTCTCTCTTTAACTGCATCTTTCAAATGAATTAATGAGACAAAATCCTTTTCTGTTAATTGTAGAGGAGAAACATTGAAAAATTATATATGTGAACCATACAGCTGAAGCCATCACAGGCTTGGGGTGTCCACGCAGGCTTGGGGTGCCCACGCAGGTTCGGGGTGCCCACGCAGGCACTGCTTACCCTTTGCTGCCTCATCCACCCCACACACTCGCTGGTGAGGCGCTTGGTGAACTCGTCCCACCCGGAGCCGCTCTGACACGTGTATCCACCGCCCTTGGAGCTGGCCCTGCGCACGCGGGGGACGCTGATGGCTTTGTAAAGGGCTCGCATTTGCTCCTGGAGCTGCAGCAGTCTGAAAGAAAAGGGGACCGTTAGGGCCCTGCAGGAAAGCAGCTAGGAACACCGGGCCACCTCAGCCTTCCCTGTCTCGCTCAACACAGACGTCACAAATGTTGGCTTGGGGAACTTTCTTTTCTATACACCCAAAAAACTTCTGTCTCAGCAAGTTGCTCAAACACAGTCATACCGCAGGATGCCAAAGTACCTCGGCTTAACCTGTCGGCACCTTTGGTTTTTCCTGAGTTTTGCGCTGGGGATTTGCATTGATCGTATCAAGCTTGACCTGATGTGGGGTTTATCAAGTCAGACACTGGACGAGAACTTTCTATCCCTCCCAAACAGAGGGGCATCAATATTTACTCTGCAGAGTAAGAACTAGAGGGGCCGGCACTGTGGTACAGCCGGTACGGCTGCCGTTTGCTGTGCTAGCATATGTGTGCTGGTTCCAGTCCTGGCTACTCAACTCTGATCCAGCTCCCTGCTTATGTGCCTGCGGAACCATGGCAGGATGGCGCCAAGTACGTGGACCCTGCACCCACGTGGAGACCAGGAAGAAGCCCCAGGCTTCAGTCTGCCCAACACGGCCACTGCAGCCATCAGGGGATGTGAACCAGCAGACAGAAGAGCCCTCTCTGACTCCCCCTCTAACTCTGCCTTTCAAATAAGTCTTTAAAAAATCAAGTGAATAAGAACTAGCCTTTCTGAGAGGCCACACTGCCACAAGGCAGTTGGAGGTTTGAGCACAGCGGGCAGGGATGTAGAAAAGGCACATGGGGCAATAAGCCATCACCAAGCCTTCGTCAGGGAGATACAGGCACCCTGGCAGCCTGGCCTGCCCCTAGGCCCAGTGTGCCCCTCGCAGGGCCCAGCCCGCCAGGCCCTCACCTCTTCTGGTAAGCGTCACACGGCTGGCCCATCTGCCGCATCTCCCGGAGCAAGCTGTCGGTGACTTCCATCTGCTCGTTGGCCTGCGCGAAGCACTCATCCAGCTCTCTGCTCCGGGCCAGCTGTATTCCATCTCCGTACTTCAGTTCCTAGAAGAGAATATTCATGATGCGCCAGGAAAGGCTTCAGGGGCGCAGATGGGAGCTAAACTTCTGGCCGTACTTGGCTTTTATTTATTTATTTATTTGCTTATTTATTTACTATTGGAAAGGCAGATATACAGAGAGGAGAGATAGAGAGGAAGATCTTCCATCCGATGATTCACTCCCCAAGTGAGTGCAACAGCCGGTGCTGTGCCGATTCAAAGCCAGGAGCCAGGAACTTCCTCCAAGTCTCCCACACGGGTGCAGCATCCCAAAGCATTGGGCCGTCCTCCACTGTTTTCCCAGGCCACAAGCAGGGAGCTGGATGGGAAGTGGAGCTGCCGGGATCAGAATCTGCGCCCATATGGGATCCTGGCGTGTTCAAGGCGAGGACTTTAGCCGCTAGGGCCACGCCGCTGGGACCTGTACTTGGCTCTTAAAACACATTCATGGGATGCTAAACTTGGCCTTGTTTCCATAGGTTAAATGCCTTCATCACAACGACACGCGTGCAGGGCCGGGCTCTGTCGCGTTGTCATGGGAAGCCACTGGGGAGCCTGGTTTGCTTTCCACACACGAATGCAGACACCTCTCTGAGCCTTATGGGGCTGGGGCGGGGAGCACGCTTCACGGCCCCATCGAGAGACAACCAGGACTGGAAGCTGGACTGCTGACCCCCAAATACCTGAACTAAAGCCAAGTGCTTTCTGAAATGGACAAAATGACCCAGATGCAAGAACCCACACGACACCCCCACTAAGAACACCGATCACCTCCAAACAGAACACATGGGCTTGCGTGGAAGATCTGCGCGTCGGACACAGACCACATACCGGGGCTCTGGGAGCAGGTGCTTCTCACTTGCAGCCCTGACATGAAAATATCCGCATCTGGAACACAGCTCCTTGCTGGAAACGCAATCCGCCCGGAAGGGCAGCTAGAGCCTCACCAATCCCGACCTGCTATTAGCAGCTGCAGGGCAAACACAGAACTACGCAGCTAAAATCAGGAACCTGGATTTCTAAGGTTCCTTAAGCTACCTGTTGTGCAGCTGTCACAAAAGTCCCAGCAACTTGACACGTTCCTCAGTTTTCCAGCTGCTTAGTTCTCCACTAGCAGATGTTTTCCAAGATGGTTCCTCACGCCCTCCCCATAACTAATTAAGCAGATGTAGCATAGGGTTGACGCTGTGGCACAGCCAGTTAAACTGCCACTTGCAACAGTTGCATCACATGGGCACAAATTCAAGTCCTGGCCACTCCACCTCCAGTCCAGCTTCCCGCTAATGCACCCGGGAGAGCAGTGCACGACAGTCCAAGTGCTTGGGCCCCTGCACCCTCGGGGGAGACCCGGTTGGTGCCCTGGCTTCTGGCTTCAGCTTGAACCAGCCTCGGCATTGCGGCCATCTGGGGAGTGAACCACCGAATGGAAGAGCTCTCTGCCTCTTCCTCCACCCCTTCCCTCACTGCTCTGCTTTTCAAATAACTAAATCCTAAAAGAAAAAATTTACGCATAAATATAAAAAAAAAACAGGTCAGGCTGCATTTCTAGGAGGAAAAAGTAACATACACACCAACTAATGGCTGAAACTCCAGAAGGGAAGCCTTCCGCAGTGTAAACATGTGTGAACACTGGGACGCCCACACTCCACTTACATTAAGGAGACATGCCCTCCAACTCACGTTCAAACCGATCCTCTATGAAACACAGAAAGGCGGGATCTCACAGAGGCGTGCGGGGCTCACGCATTATTCGAGAGTGGGTTTCTACAGAACCAGTGGTGTGTGGCACCACTCCTGCCCGCAGCAGGGCCAGAATCCTGAAGCCAAGCTGCCTCTCTACTCTGCAGACAAGGTCAGAGCTGAGCAGTGGCGTCCACATTAGGGGAAGCAGGGAGGCTGGGAGGTGCCAGCTGGAGTGTGAGGGGTTGTAGGGGGGAGGCTGGGAGGTGCCAGCCGGCAGGTGAGGGGCTGTGGGGGAGGCTGGGAGGTGCCAGTCGGAGGGCGGGGGCTGTGGGGGAGGCTGGGCAGGTGCCAGCCGGAGGGCAAGGGCTGTGGGGGAGGCTGGGAGGTGCCAGCCGAAGGGCGGGGGCTGTGAGGGAGGCTGGGAGGTGCCAGTCGAAGGGCGGGGGCTGTGGGGGATGCTGGGAAGTGCCAGCCGGAGGGCGGGGGCTGTGGGGGAGGCTGGGCAGGTGCCAGCCGGAGGGCGGGGGCTGTGGGGGAGGCTGGGAGGTGCCAGCCGGAGGGCGGGGGCTGTGGGGGAGGCTGGGAGGTGCCAGCCGGAGGGCGGGGGCTGTGGGGGAGGCTGGGAGGTGCCAGCCGGAGGGCGGGGGCTGTGGGGGAGGCTGGGAGGTACCAGCCGAAGGGCGGGGGCTGTGGGGGAGGCTCACCGGCTGCACGATCAGCTCCGCCCGCATCAGGCAGTCAGCGCAATTCTGCAGCAGCTCCTGGATGGTGTTCTGGTTCTGGTGCCTGGGCATCGTGCCAGTTTGGCTGAGGAGACAAATGCAAACAGATCAGCCATGAGCTCGCACCTCTCCCCGGCCACTTGGTTTTGAAGTCATTTGGAACTCTCAGGAAGGCTGCACGTCTCACACAACCCTGCAGACTTCAAGCCGATTCCCTGGCCACACCGCTGGTCCTCGGCAATCGGGCTCTTCAGCGTGCTTTTTTCTTTCTTTCTTTTTTTCTCCTTATTGGAAATGCAGATTTACAGAGAGCAGGTAAGACAGAAAGATCTTCCATCCACTGGTTCACCCCCAAAATGGCCAAGATGGAGCTGATCTGAAGCCAGGAGCTTCTGGGCCCCCATGTGGGGGTAGCGTCCCAAGGCTTTGGGCCATTGTCCACTCCTCTTCCAGCCACAGGCAGGGAGCTGGATGGGAAGTGGAGCAGCTGGGACACAAACCAGTGCCCGCAACAAATCCTGGTGTTTGCAAGGTAAGAATTAAGCCGTTGAGCGTCATATTGGGCCCATTCAACATGTATTTCTAAATAAGGCCTTTTCCTGGAAGGTGTGTGGTAGGAAATTTAAAGAAGAATATTAGAGATGGCACAGAGTTTAAATAAAGAAAAGGAAACATTAATAAAACAATCTGAGGGCTTTTTTCCTAAGACTCATTTTTGGGAAAGGCACAGTGGTGGGGGTGTTCGCGGGGTGGCTACAGGAGACACACACACACACACACGTTCCATCCCAAATGGCCCCAGCTGCCAGGACTTGACCAGACTGAAGCCATGTCGGCAGCGTTTGAGCCTCCACCCATCTCCCAGGCACACCAACAGGAAGCTGGGTCGGAAGAGCCAGGACTCGAAGAAGTTTCCCAAGCGGCAGCTTGACCCATTGCACAACACTTTAAGAGACATGCTTAAAAGTTAAAATCCATCAAATCAGCATGTGATGTCTGTGAGAGACTCATGAATACGCCAGGAGGAGCCTCAGTTCCTGCAGGGTTTGGTGATCCCAGGCCTCACCCAGGGCCTGCCTGGGCTTGTTTCCGACTGGCCAATGCCTACCTGGCACACCGGCCTTTCTCCTGCGTGTGTGTGTGTGTGTGTGAAAGGCTCTCACTGTTGAAAAGGAAGCATTGGCAGCACAGGCTGTGTTCTGGCAGCTGGGATGGGCTCACGAGCATGTGGGAACTTCTCCCACAGCACCTGACTACGCCTCATCTCCCAGAGGGAAGCACTTTTTGCTTTCGCTACCATCTATCTGAGTCCCTCCCTGCATGCCAGGCCCCTCAACAAGTTAGCACTGGCTGGCGGGTGGGAGAGCAAGCCAGCCTCCAGGGAACTACTCCCAGTGATGACGGCAGCTCCCCGAGGCAGGCCCAGGCAGGGCGTCTGAGCCATCCGCCTATCAAAACGGGGAAACGCCCCTGCCTCCCGGGGGACGCAGCCCAGGACGGGCCAACTGGCACAGCCCTGGTGCTGAGATCTACAGACTACCTCCCAGCCACTGTCCCAACTTGTGCCGAACCATTCCGCGATGCACCTGCTAGGAAACAACAGGCAGAAACAGTCAAGAGACAGAGGAAAAAGTTATGAAACACGGAAAGTCTGTTGCGGCACAGGGTGTTTGGGAATTAGCAAGGTCCCAGGTCCTAACGCTGGTTTTCCTGCTGGAAGAGAATGAGAACAAGTTTCTTGGGAAGCATGCAGCAATTCTGCTTGGCAACCTACCTCAGACTGACTGCCACAGAGAATGCCAGCCCCCGGGCCCAACGACAGCGACGACTGAATACAATGACATGCTACGTGTGCCCATGTAAAAGCCACCGCCGACTGGGCTGCACGGGTGGAGGCCGGTGGGGAAGCTGGGAGAGACACACACGAACTTCGCACTTCCAAAATCACACATGTAGCTATTTGGGAGGCAGAGAGCTACATACTAGATACGGGGGCTCGCTGACCAAATAACCACAGGAACTGAGGCTGGGTGGGGGCTGAAGCCAGGAGCCAGGAGGCTGGCAGGAAGCCAACCACTAGAAATCAAACCTGGGGACTCTGATGTGAAGCGGAGGCTGACCGCTCATACCCAAGAACTCTGCATAATCGGGACAACTTGATCGCAAACCTAAAAGCACTCCAAGAAAACTGCGTTTAAGGGGTCTGGCGCAGTAGCTTAGCGGCGAAAAGTCCACACCTTGCATGCCCGGGATCCCATATGGTCACTGGTTCTAATCCCAGCCACCCCACTTCCCATCCAGCTCCCTGCCTGTGGCTGGGAAAGCAGTCGAGGACGGCCCAAAGCCTTGGGACCCTGCAACCACGTGGGAGACCTGGAGGAAGCTCCTGGCTCCTGGCTTCAGATCGATTCAGCTGCAGCCATTACAGACACTTGGGGAATGAATCAACGGACAAATCTTCCTCTGTCTCTTCTCTGTATATCTGACTTTCCAATAAAAAGAAAATAAATAATTTAAAAATTCATTTCAAAGTATTACAAATGGGCAGAGGCAAGAGTCTTTCTGTGAATTAAAGAGTGCGTACAAAGCTTTTTTCTTTTTCCTAAATGTTTGCTTTTCATCCACTTGAAAGGCAGAGCAACAGAGGCAGAGAGAGCTCTCCCATCATCTGGCTCATTCCCTGGTACCTAACCAGCAGGGCTGGACCAAGGCAAGCCCAGGCACGCAGAACTCGTCCGGTCTCTCGGGCAGAGGGCAGGGGCCTGGCCGAGACACTCGCGTCCTCCCAGGCACGTGAGCAGGCGTGGGAGGCTGAGAACCCAGGGCTCAACTGACTCGTCCAATGCACGATGCTGCTGCCACTACAACAGACCTTCCAAGATTTTTTGAATAGAAGTCCCTTTGATAACGTGTTGTGATACATGAGACATGGAAGATCAGCAGCAGAAGTGTACAGAAATGTGGCCTTGCCATTGTGCTGGCAGAGATGCCCTCAACCCACTCTGTATGTTGGGGTTCAGTTCTCCACTACGCCCCCGACTGCTGCTTCCCACTATCGTACCCTGACAGGTAACAGACTCAAACAGCCACATCACTGTCCCCTGGGGGAGGCCTGGATGCAGTGCCCAGCCCCCACTGCAGCCTGGTCCAGGGCCAGCCTTGGTGGGCATCTGCCAAATGACCCTGGATGCAGTGCCCGGCCCCCACTGCAGCCTGGTCCAGGGCCAGCCTTGGTAGGCATCTGCCAAATGACCCTGCAAATGAGAACTGTGATTTTTTTCTCCTTTTCCATGAATAACTAAATACAAATCAAAAAGACAGTAATAAAATAGAACAATTATAATAACAACAGATTAGAATAAAATTATTTAAATTGACACATCATTTATTTCTGGAATTTTCCTCTTGTACCTCCACCTGCAGGTAACTGACACGATGAAAAGTGCACCTGTGGCTTAGGGCGAGGCAGAGTGGTCCCAAAGGCATGGCCTCCTAGCCTGTCTTGCATCGGCAACAGCCCACCCCCATTGGCAGTGAGGCCAAAGACCTCCTTGGCCAGCACTGCCGGGCCAGACAGGAAGCCAGCTGGATACCTTGAAGGTGCCTCAGTCCATCTGAGATCACAGATGGGTGCCAGGGAGGTGCTGGATAAAGGCACACAGAGCCAGCTGGGCCTACAGGTGAGAGGGTTTCCACCCGTGAGGTTGGCGTGACACCCCGTACACCAGCAGCCAGGCGCAGCAGCCCAGGTTACGCAGGAGGCGCTCCAGGGAGCACACACGTGTTTCCAAAGTGCCGTGTAACCAAGCGTGCGGGGCTCAGCATGCATTTTATTAGCATATACTTTTAGATCATTGGTTTTAATCTCAGAAAATGCATCTAAAATTGCTTTGGCTCATTCATCCTGTAACTCTCATATTGGAAAAAGCTTTCCTCATTGAAACCAATATGAGAGTCGCTAAAACTGGCATTGTGGTATTATGGGTTAAGCTGGGATCTGCAGTGCCAGCATCCCATATGGATGCCAGTCTGAGTCCTGGCTGCTCTACCTCTGATTCAAATTCCTGCCAATGTGCACAGGAAGCTACAGAGGGTGGCCGATGAGCCTGGGGCCCTGCACCTACGTGGGAGATTGGATCTCGGCTTCACTTACAGTTACCTGGGGAGTGACCCAGCAGGTGTAACTTCCCCATCTCTCTCCTCCCCCTCCCCCAGCCCATGACTTTGCCTTTCAAATACATAAAATAAAATTCTTTGTAAAACAAAGTCTCTGCTCTGGTTTGTAGTTACTAAGTTTCTTCTTCAACTGACACAGTGCACTTCAGAAAAATGCAAATTCCGCCCAAGCTAAAGAAATAATTTGAAATAGGACTTTCTAATCTCACAGTCAATACCACTGCTTCTATTCAGAAAGTGGAGATTTTAAATCATGTTGGGAACAGAACTGACAAAACCCAAGGTTGTGAAATTGTTAAAATCTATTTCAGTGGCATGGAAAATTGAAAAGATCAGCTTGAAGAAACAGGAAATTTACCTGCATCAAATCAAGCAAAGGAATACTGATTTCTAAATTGAACAACTGACTTTGGAAAAAACTAAGATTCATGCTTGAAAGTTTTTCATTCTGTCAAACTGTTTCACCTTCAGACTCACGAGGCCAGTGATCGAACTGACAAAGACACTGCCGCGCAAACGTTGTCCCTTAAAGCTGAACACTAAAACTTGTTGAAACAAATCATGGCTCCAGTGTTTATACACATCCTTCCCCAGTGCTGAAAGAAAAACCCAGCCTGGTCTGCTCTGAGCACAGGTCACCAACACACGTCTTCCTTCCTTGTTCCTCCTCTGCCTCAGCTCCGTCTTGATTCAATCAGCAAGCGGAGTCTCCGTGACTCTCTCTGTGCTCAGGTTCAAGGGACAAAGTCCAGGAAACACTGTGTAAATCTTCGTTGGCCATTGTAATTACGTAACGCATGGCTGCTGACCACAAGGCCTGTTTGCTTAGCTCTTTGTAATGTTTCGTGGCATTTCCCACATACAATATGGGAATTTCTTCAAAAGCTTGTAAGTGAAAAGGAAAAAACC